TGTACTTTAGTTGTCCCATTGAAAAACATGGCTAAAAAAATCACCAGAGCAGGGTAATTATGAAGATTGAATAAGATTGTGTAAGTGATTATAAATTGTGCCCATAATTTCTGAGGTTTAAAAAGCATTTCTTACCTGTGAATTATTAAGAATTAATATATTTGGAATTTCTGTGTCCCTTTCCAACTGATTTACGACTAAGTTCTTCACTGTAAAGTAGGTAGGCTGTGGGGTCTCCATATTCTGGCTAAGTGACTCATGATTTGAGAACAAATTAAGAACCAAAGTTTCTTATGTAGAATTGAAAAGGTGAGGAGACTCAGGGAAAAGTTGGATTTTAGAATTACCTTGGGAATACTTTGAGAAAACAAGTATGCACAGGTCTTTTCCTTACACTTTCTCCCCATTTTCTGATTGAGTAAGTCAGAGGTGGGCCCCAATATACATACAAGTAATTCTCCTCTCATGCATGTGTCCATGATTCAGGTTGTTTTTAATATAGCGATATCAAACTGTAGTTATACACTGTTAAGTAGTGATTTAAAACTGACATGTAGGGAAAAAGCCCAACCTGTCACCTTGTTTGAGTGGCTTAGTGTTTTCCTTATTATAGATTTGCTTCTATACTTCATGTGAATAGGAGATTTCGTTAGGGTAGTTCGTTGTTGCCTGTCCAGTGCCTAGAAAGATGCTGGGCAAATAATAGAGGTGCTGTATTATTTGTTGGGGAACAAATGTATGCATACATAATACTGGGTTTAAAGGTAATAAAGGATATATTAGAAATGATAAATGGTTGTGCTAGTAGAGGTAGGGAAAAAAATACCAATTATCTTTGATCAAAAGTAAGTCAAGTTTTGAATTGTATGGCTCTCTATACCTTTATAGCCATAAAAGCAGGACCTTTGCAAAGAGTCATACAATTTGGTTTCAACAGAGTCCTCTTGTTGAATCCAGCTAAGGGTTATCCCTATAGGGATCTCATCCTGAGGTGAGAGAGGGGTAGCCTCTGTTTAAATATTTTTAAAAATTCTATTTTAATTTGTAGGCTTTTACACTATATTTTGTACTTTTTTTTTTTTTTTTTTTTTTTTTTTGTCATTACTCTAGGGAACAGTATATATATCCTTAACTTGTCATGGACTACTTAGAGTCAATATTGTATCACCTCACAAAAGATGTAGAAACCTTGCATAGTGTAGCTCCATTTTGACTGCTAATTCCATACATATATATATATGTGTGTGTGTGTGTGTGTGTGTGTATATATATATATATATATGCACTCCAGCTACATATATTATAATCCCTCAAGACATATTGTTTGCTGTAAGAGTCCTATGTATTTTAGATAAATTAAAATAAAACAGAGTCTTTTGTATTTCCGGAGAAAGGTGTCATTTCCAGTATTATTTATTTCTTTCTGAAAAAGTTTCCATCTCGTATCATTTCCCTTTAGCTTGAAGAACTTATTTTAGCATTTATTTCTGTTTTGCTTTTGTAGTGCAGGTCTGCTGGTGATAAATTATCTTAATTTCTCTTGTTTTGTTTGTTTAATCAGTAAATGTCTTCCTTTTTTCTTCCTTTAAAGATTGTTTTTGCTGGAATTATGGGTTAGCTGGTTTTTATCTTTTAACGCTTTTAAAAATTGTTTCACCATTTTCCAGTCTATAGTTTCTTTTTCAAGTATATATATATATATATATATATATATATATATAAATTATGTAAATAAATTTATATATACAAATTAAAAAAATTTATATATTTATATATATATAATTTACCATCCTTACCTTGTTTAAGTGTACAATTCAGTGGTAATAAACACGTTTGTGTTCCTTTTTTTCCTTCATCCTCCACATCCCACTCCTGTTTCTGGCCTCTGATAACCGCCAGTCTACTTTATCTTCGTGAATCCACTTATTTAGCTTCTTGCATATGGGTGAGAACATGATCTATTTAGTTTCTGATGAGAAGTCAGCAGTAGCCTGAATTGTTATTTTCTGTTTATAATATGCTGTTTTTTTCTTTTGCTGCTTTCAGGATTTTTCTCTTTATCTTTGGCTTTCATTAGTTTTATTGTTAACCATTAATCATTCTACTGTTAAGCATATTCAGTGAATTTTTTATTTCATATATTTTTTCGTTTTAGAATTTCTGTTTGGTTCTATTTTATCATTTCTCTAGGCTGAAATTGCCCAGGCATATTTTCCTTTGCATTTTTCCATATGTTTTAAAAACCATGCTTTAAAAATCTTATATGCTAATTCTAGGATCTGGGTCATCTCAGCATTAATCTGTTTTGATTGTGTTTTCCCTTAAGATTGAACCACAATTTTTAAATGTTGTTTTTAATTGTCTCCTGGATGTTGTTATTTTGAGGTTACAGAGACTTCGGTTCCCTTACGTTCCTCTAAGGCGTGGTGACTTTTTAGGCAATTAACTTGGTTGGACTTAAATTGCAAACTCTCGTCTCTTGAGCAGCAGTTCAAGTCTTAGTTCAGTTGTTGGCAGGAATCTGTCTTGTACATGTGTTGGTTCAGAGGTAGTTAGAGATGTGGGAACAATTTATATCCAGCGTATGTGGCTTCCCATCACTCACTCTCTTCCCTCCTGGATTCCCCCTCAGTTTCGAGCAACTGTGGTTGCCTCAGACTCTGTCTTCCTGTTCTTCAAATGGCTGCAGCTTTTCATCAGTTTTAGCCACCCTTGCATAGTACAGACTGCAGCTTGCCCTCAGAATAAAGCTGTATTAAATGGAATAAGGTTGCTCCTTTCTCCAGGACATCTACTCTCCTTAGTCTGTTTTTGTTGATTTTCCAGTGCCTTCACGTGGTTATTGTGTGTTTTGTCAGGAGTTTATGGTTGTTGTCTGTGAAAGGATTGGGTTCAGTAGGAACTTCCTAGCCATTTCAGAAGTGGAAGTTCAGTTACCCCTTTAAAAAGGTGCCTCACGGACTACCCAGTGGCACTGGGAACCAAAACACCCTTGTTGTTTAAGTTTTTACAGGAAAATAATGTAATTATTGTATGTATGAAACTTTCTAGTCTCTAACCTCTCTTTCCCCTTTGAAACACATTTATTATTTGACTTTGGAAAATATAGAGTTACTAAGATAGTAACTCTTGTGTAATATCAGAATAGACTGTTTTAAGGTAGAGGGGCATGCCTCTCCTCTCTGCTACTGTCAGAGTCTGATTTTATGAAATGTTTTACACAACTTATTCTGGATTTTCTCAATTATTTATCTAAGGCAGGCGTCCCCAAACTATGGCCCGCGGGCTGCATGCGGCCCCCTGAGGCCATTTATCCGGCCCCCAGCCACACTTCAGGAAGGGGCACCTCTTTCATTGGTGGTCAGTGAGAGGAGCACAGTATGTGGCGGCCCTCCAGCGGTCTGAGGGACAGTGAACTGGCCCCCTGTGTAAAAAGTTTGGAGACGCCTGATCTAAGGTATAGCATCCAGTAGGAAAAGTTACTCTGAAACTGAGTTCAAACAGTAATATCATAGTTTCATAGTTGTAGGCTTAAGGTCCTAGATAGACTGGTCTGTTATATGGCATCAGGTTTAGGACCAGAGTAATCTTTAAAAATATATATAAAGGAAAGATCTGGGGAGAACTTGCCAGCTAAAAACAAAGCTGAGCTTTCCAAACTACTGCAATAATAATTGAAGAAAGAGCTTGTTAATCAGCATATTATGTAAAGTTACACACATTTGTCTACTTAACTGTAGGCTTCATACATAAGCAGTGATGTGCTTTAGATTGTAGTTACATTTTATAGATTGGTAAGTTTGCCTTTACTAACCTTGACACCATGCCAACCGTTGTAATAGAAACATTACTTGACTTAGTCATTTGTATACATCCCTGTCTGCCTCAAATGATAGCAGCTCTGTATCACTTTGTAATGTGAAGACTATTTCAATATGTGTTCTAGTGAGAGGAATACTTAACAGGGTGTCCTTATGATAGGTTTCTAGTTGTAAGTCTAACTGGTATTATAATTTAGTTATTATAATTGGAATAGCTTATTTGGCTTTCAGTATTCTCTTTAAAAAGAAGGAATTGAACCAGATTATCTGTTATACCCTTTCTAACACTGAAATTAGTTTTGTTTTCTAGTTGTATTCAGTTATTTTGGTACTAAGTACATTACTTTCTCTGCAGTCTCTATGTCTTTTGATCCTTTTATTTTTTTTTCTATTTTATTTTTGAGATTTTATTGCCTTAAACTATAAACCATAGAGATGTGTACTTCCAATAAAATACTCAAATGGAAGTTCTTTGTGAACGTAAGTATCAATTTACCGTCTTGCAGAAATTACTAAAATTTACTTAGGAGAATATTAAAAGACAACTAAAGATTTTAGGTTTAATGCTGATCACTAGGTTTATTCTGAGCCAGATACTTAGTTCTCATATGTGTATATATCTGAAGCCTTGTGCCATTAATAGATCACATTGAAACATAATTCTTGCAGTTTAGCACCTTAAATTTCTATGTGGATTATATTTATTTCTTAATGATCATTATTGCAAGGATGTAGGGCATTTCATTCTTAGTCTAGATAGAAACATTGGATTTTTGTACTGGGTTTATGTAGTTTCTCTTCTATCATTGTTTTCTCAATTTTTTAAAAATAATATCCTAATACTGTCTTATGATGTAGGTGTATATCTCCCTCACTGTGAGAACATTTTTAATAAAAAAGTTATAAGACATCTCTTTTTAAATTAACTTTTGTTCCTCTTAGTCAGAATATAACCTTCTGCTTGCTCTCTCATTCATGGATTTTTTTTTCTACTAGTATATGTTAGGTATACATTATTATGTGTAACTACTTAAGGATTTTTAAAATTTTTATTTAGTTATTATATTTGTTTATGGATTAAGAAAAATAAGGGGGTTAAATGTCCATTGTGTAGAAAAAATGTCATCATTTTACACATTTCATTGGTGTTAACAAAGCTTTCTTTGGTATATTTTATAGGTGATATTTGCAGACAGAAAAAGTAAACTGTCAAAGAATTCAGAGCATTGAGTACTTGTTATTTGGACCAGTTGGAGGAGTCTTTGATTTATTGGACCAACCTGCAACAGAAATGAAAAGTAGTGTGGCACAGATAAAAGTAAGTGTTAGAAACTTAAAATAGAGGATGTAAGCTTATAGTCGATTACCTATTCTTTAAATATAAATGCATTTACGTAATTAGGACAGTAGAGCCAGACAGTAGAGTGGCACTTAGGTTGGTGCAAAAGTAATTACAGTTTTTGCAATTTTAAAAACCGCAATTACTTTTGCACCAACCTCATACATCCAACTTAAACAATTTTAAATGTAGATTCTTAGCTATATGGAAGCAATAGTGTGCAAGAGGGCAGTTGAGAGAACATACAGGGGTGTGTGTGTGTGTGTGTGTGTGTGTGTACACACACGTCCATACATGCATCAGTGCCTGCATAAATCATGTGAGTGATCAAACACTGCAGGGAAATTTCTGCCTATCTGTTTACAATGTGAGCCTTTTGTTGCATATTTCTTATGAATAGATGGGCTCTTTATTCTTTGCTGTACTTTAGATAGTGTATGTTCATTTATTCAGCAAACGCATATTGAGTTCTAATGATTGTTCTAAGAACTTTGAACAAAATAGTGAATAAAACAAATCCTTGTTTTCATGGAGTTTACATTATCGTCGTTGTGGGGAGGAGACTAAATTATAAACCTGATAAGTAAGTTATATAGTATGGTAGAATGTTAAGTAGTAGACTTGTGCTATGGAGAAAAGAAACAGAATTAGGGTAGTTGGGTTCAACATTGAGGGGTTGCAGTTTTTAATAGAGGGGGTTAGTAGGGCCCATTGAAAAGATACCCATTTGAGCAGAGACTTGAAGACGTGAGAGTTAACTATGCCGATATCTGGGAAAGAGTGTGCTTAGCAGGAACAGCAAGTGCCAAGGCAAAGAATCTAGAGTGAGTGGGGCAGGTAGCAGAAGGGGAGGATTATAGGAGGTGAGGTCAGGGCAGTAACAGGGAACAGTAATTCCATCTGCTTTCAAAATTGTTTTGCCTGTGAGTGAACTTGGCAGGTGAGCAAACTACTCAACTTCCTTTTCTTTTCAACTGCATGGATTTACAACCAAGCCATCGCTTTTTGGGCCATGGAGTCAGTAAAGGGGGAACTGTATTTTTATTTGATTATAACTGTAGGCACTCCTCCCTTCCTCTCCTCTGCCAGCTGTGTACCCCTAAAGTTCCTTCTTTAAAGAGAAGCAGTGGATTGCAAGCTCCTTGACAGTAGGCCCTGTGGTAGGTGCTTATTAAGCTGAACTGATAAACTTGTAGAGTAAGGCAGCCTCTGCTGCCATCTTTTCCAGCCTCTGTCAAGTGTGAGAAGACCCTCACCCACCTCTCTGCTAGGTGGACATCCAGCCTCTGCTTGGTGTGTATCTCTTTTGGCATGGGACTCACAGTTTATTAAGGTAGTTCATCTGTTAGTAACTCTTGTATATTTTGTTCTTAAATCAGCCCTTTTGGGACTTGTACTTACTGGTCCATTGTTACTTAAACAGTTAATTTGTTGAAGACCCAGTAGCAGGCAGATTCTGTGTTAGGAGCTGGGGACATAATAAAAGAAAGGAGACCTTGTGCAGAACTGTCTCTTGACAGAGCCGTGTTAGACAAGAGCGCTCAGATCTTTAGATGAAGGCCTTTTACTCAAAGGGAGAAATGTATAGCCTTTCTCAGAATCCTTTTCCATTTCCTCTTAGCCTCTGTTTCTCCACACTTCCCTCATGTGGTCCTGATGGGTCTCCTGTGGCACTTTCCCCCCTAGCCTGGGAGTGCGTGACTTCATTTAGCATGCCCTTCACACTCAGTGGCTTGGCTTTCCCAGCCAACTCTCTTTGGTCTGCTTCCATTTCTCCTTTCCGTTAGCCACAACAAGGTCCACTAGCTGGGTTGATGCTCATTCTTACTTTAGGTGACACTCAGCTCTTTCCTTGATGTTCCGAGGAACTGTTAGGTTCATAACGCTTCAACTGAGAATCCCCTGTTTTTCCCTTGAACTTTATGGTAGCTTCCTTAGCGAGATCCCTACCTCTTCCAGCCCTTCCTCCCACCTTCTTTTAAAGTCTAGTGGATCCTGAAAGCCTCTGGATTCAGGCTCCTTGTTTCTCTTGTCTCCTCATACTGCTGTCTCTATGTTGTTGTAGACTATGAGTGATTGCATGATATCATCATATTTGTTTTGCTTCATGAACAGTTTAGAAAAATTTTAAAGGTAATTCTGACTGTATAGTATTTTCAGCTACTGCACTGACTTAGAATCTAAAGTCTGTGATAAAAGAAATAGGGAAATTCGGGTTCTTAATATTTGAATCATACCCGAAAGTAATTTTTAACTTGTGAAATTCTGTTCATCTACCAAAGCCAAATTCAAGTCCCCGTTTTCCCACTTTCATTCTTTGGCACCCTGTGCCACAGTGATTATTTCCTACTCAAGATCTCCTGTTAGCACTTACTACGTGTGCCAGTCATTTGTTACTTGATCATATTTACGAAATCTTTCTTATTCACGACTTCAATATTTTTGGTCTCTTCCTCTTGCTCACAACAGATGTTGCGGAGACGTGTTAAAAATCATTAGCACAGAATTGAGGCCTTCTCCTTAATGTAATCAGAATAATTTCTTTGCCTTGTAAAGAGAAAGGAGGTCATACAGTTTAATGTTCTCTGTCTTCTCCCCTGTATTCTCCCCTCCTCCCCTTCTTCCTCCTCCTCTTTTTTCTCTCTCTCTTTCTCTCCCTCTCTCACTCTCTTGTGCTTTCTCTCTCTCATTCTTGGGAACTTTCAGTCTAATGTGTTTAATTGTGGAAATCTTTGTAAGCCTCTCCTACAAGATCATAAGCTCCTTGGCCTTTATTATCTATTGTATCCTTCAGAATGTCTACACTAGAAGGACTGTGTCTTATAATACATGATCATATAAATATCGTATTTTATGTTACCATTGAATTGAGTGAATCTTGTGCTCTGTGTCTGATCTAAGATCTTTATGTGAAGTTTTATAGAAACCTATATCATATACATTGAACAATTCTATTTCACTGTGTTATAAGTGAAACAATTTTTAAAACTTTCTTATATTAGAAACAGAATTTTAAGGTGGTTGAATTTAGTGCAAAGTAACAGCTAAACTACAGTTACTTTAGATTATCAATTTTGATTACATGCTTATTCATCTATGTAGATTAGTTAGTGGATAGTGTTTGAAAAGTTCAATAGTTAATGAGACTGTTTTGCAGTATACTTGTGATCATGTTAGACTCAAACTACTGTTAATTAGATAGTCATAAAATCAGGAAGTTGGATCTTACATTTCTACTCAGAATAATTTTCTATTTTAAAATATATTTTTTTTTATTGAGGAGGCAAGCATGCAAGTTTGCAGAACATTTACTCATTGTTTGATTTAGTTTATCTTAGATTTCAAGATTAAAGTATGTTAAATGCTATTTTCTTTTCAGTATGGTTAATTAATATTACTTTAATTCTTAAAAAAAAAAGCTTGTCAATATTTGAATGTAGACCAGTTATGTAACAAATTTTACCTATATGCAGAGGTAAATATTTTGATTCCTTAATGTATTTAGATTTTTAAATTTGGATATAGTCCCAAACTGGATGGTTCATATCTCTGTCTCATGTCAGTCTCATGTTACATGAAGTTACTTATATGTTTCCTGATTGTTTTTCAAAGGATTTGGAATAGGACTTATACCTTAAAAGTGATGTTGTTTGATTCTGTAGTGCCTACCATAGTATAATATGTATCAGATACTCAAATGATGTTTGTTGAAAACAAAAATAAGTTTTTATAAACATGTTAGAGTCAGTTTTTTCCAGCTGTTTATTTTATCCTGTACTAAAGTTGCAGTTTTCATAAGCCAAAGGAGAGATGAGGTAAGTACAGTATCAAGGCGAGAGGATCACTTGAGCCTGGGTGATTGAGTCTGCAGTGAGCCGTAATGGTGCCACTGCACTCCAGCCTGGGCAACAGAGCGGGACCCTGCCTCAAAAATAAAAATTGTAACTATTACATAGAAATAAAATATGAACTAGATGTCATTGATAATTTGAGAGTTATCTTTTTCTACTTTGAATTTTTTTGTTTAGAAAGAAGTATTTGGTCCAGCAAAGACATAAGAATGATACAATGGGCTTTAAGGACTCAGGGGAAAGGGTCAGGGAGGGTGGGGGGCGGCGGTGAGGGATAAAAGACTATACATTGGGGTACAGTGTACACTATTCATGTGATGGGTACACCATAATCTCAGTGCCAAAGAACTTACCCATGTAACCAAATACCCTGTTCCCCCAAAAACTGTTGAAATAAAAAATAAAAGGAAATTAAAAAAAAAAAAAAAAAACAGAAAAAATAAGTATTTGGTCCATAATGAAAACAGGTGCCTGCCACAGACAGGCCCATCTGGGATGGTCTGAAATGTTTGTTTTATCTTATAGACTGTTTAGGTAACATGAATTCTTCTTAATGATTTAAAAAATGTTCTGATGTAATATCTGAAGTACTTCTAACTTTCTGAGACATGTATTTCAGCCTGTTTTTTTTTTTAACATAAATAATTTTTGAAATATTTTTTCCTTTTTCCTCTTTTAAAGCCTTCTGGTCATGACAGAAGGGAAAACCTTAATTCGTATCAGAGGAACTCCTCCCCAGAAGACAGGTAAATAGTTTTATATGCTGTAAATGCAATGTAAGTTTTTATGGTAAGTTTTATGTAATAATTTAGTTCTTAGATTTCTAATTTTAGGGTGGATAACGTCTTTCTAATGGTTTTACAACCAGTATTACTTGAGTGGACTTGATGGAGGAATCATCCTTAAATGACTCTTTTAGGAGTGTCTAGTAAATAATTCCAGATATTATGTAATTTTTATGTGAAAGGGATAATTTTTAATGTCTCAAATACTAATGGAATGAAAGTATGTAATGGAAAACTGAGTTGAAATTACACTATTTAGAAGTGCTACTTTTACTACTGGTAATACTGTCCCTTACATTTATATAGGTCTGTATTGTTCTTAAAATATTTTTATATAGATTATATCAGGGATCCCCAACCCCAGATCCAGGGACCAGACCGCACAGCAAGAGGTGAGCAACAGGCCTGCCAGTATTTTGGTCTGAGCTCCACCTCCTGTCAGGTCAGCTGCATCGTTGGATTCTCATAGGTGCACAAACCCTATTGTGAGCTGTGCATGCGAAGGATCTAGGTTGTGCTCTCCTTATAAGAATGTAACTAATGCCTGATGATCTGAGGTGGAGCAGTTTCATCCTGAAACCATCCCCCACCTTCACCGTCTGTGGTAAAATGGTCTTCCACCAAACTGGTTTCTGGTGCCAAAAAAGTTGAGGACTGCTGGATTATATCATATTATAATTATGTTAAGATCAGTGTTCCAAAAACGTTACCGTTAATGTACATTATGAATTCACATTAGGATTACAATTATTTCATTTATGATCATTGAAAGACCATTAAGCATATGATTTATTAAATATAATGACTGTAAAAAATAATTTTTTATGCCCATTAAAAATAATTTATGAAGGAAGAAGCATCCTTCAAACTTGCTTTCAGTTGTGTAATCTTCCTTATTCCGTATGTACTTTCTTATTCTACTCTGCTAAATATCTCTAAAAGCTTTGCTTTGCAGACATCAAGTTAATTGCCCTGGTTCGTGAGTACTTACTAACTTTCACCAGTCACCACTCCCTGTAGATTAAAATATGTATATATCTTTCTACACACAGACACATACATACATGGGTATATGTGTGTATAACTTAATTGTAGATGTGTATATAAAATACGGATTATGTTGCTATATATCTATTGTGTATATATTTAACTTCTCTTAAGGTTCTTTGATTTTATTCACTTTTTTTTTTTTTTTTTTTTTTTACCCTTGAGACAGACTTTCACTCACTCTGTCGCCAGACTGGAGTGCAGTGGTGCCATCTCAGCCCACTGCAACCTCTGCCTCCTGGGTTCAAATGATTCTCCTGTCCCGGCCTCCCAAGTAGCTGGGACTACAGACGCATGCCACCACGCCCAGCTGATTTTTTTATTTTTAGTAGAGATGAGGTTTCACCATTTTGGCCAGGATGGTCTCGATCTCTTGACCTCATGATCAACCCGCCTTGGCCTCCCAAAATGCTGGTATTACAGGCATGAGTCACCATGCCCAGCCCTCACTTTTAAGATTAAAATAACTGACCCAATGCTGTTCGTCCTTGTTTGCTAATAATTTCAACCCATTCTCATTGCTGTCCAATAATGCATTTTCAAGATTAACAGCTGATGAATATGGTCTTTTGGTGTCGAATTAAACAGATCCTATGGAGGCCAACCAATGACAGTGGTCCCATACATTCAGTGTTTTGATAAATGAGCCAGCTAAGCAGAAGGAGTCATTTGCAGGATAGCCTTTTTCATGCTAACTGTATGTAATATCCAGATATATGTCTTCTACTGAGAAGAAAATGAATCAGGATAATTCACTAACCAAATAAATTCTGTTAAGCAAATACTAGGAGTTGTTTTGCTGTGTACAAGCTGAAAGTTTTTGTAATTCTGATGGAAACAATGGGTGTTAGCAAAATGAGCTGTTAAGAACAGTTTGATAAGATGCTGTTCAGTCGCAGAGCTGCTTTATCATTACCAATATATGACTTTCCTATTTATAACATAGTTATTTTTAACTTACAACTTGGTTTTCTTATGTTATGTTAGATATGCAGAACAAGAAAGATCCCCCCGGGATAGAGATCACTTTGATTACAGCAGATCAGACTATGAGCATTCAAGAAGAGGACATTCTTATGATAGTAGCATGGAGTCACGGTTAGTGTTGGGAATTTCTAACTGTAGAAAATCATATTTGTTTAAACTTTCTTTATGCTATATTTATAATAATAACAAAAATAATAGTAACTAACATTAATTGGATGTTCTTAGGTGCCAGGCTTTCTAATAAGGGCTTCATGTGAATTAACTTCTTATGGTAGTAAATATGTGAAGTGTAGATACTGTTATGTATGCTTTACAGCTGAAGAAACTGAGGCCTAGAGAAGTTTAGTAATTTGTTCACATTTTGAAATGTAATAGTGCCAAGCCCAAGTCTGTCTGACATAAAGCCCAAGCTCATTCATTATATTGTACTGCAGAAGTAGTCAGCGTATGTGATTTTTTGAGATTCTTTACTAAAGGAAAGAAATTTATGTTGTATGATATAGAGTGGTCTAAATTTATTTTCCTACATAATAGCAGAGGGACATTGAGACTAAAGTTTCCAGTTTGTAATTTTTTTCTACTTTACTTGACCCTTAGAGAACTTGGTTACCCACCTGTTACTCTGGCTAACAAGACTTACAAGATTTACTTGGTTGAGAAATGGGCAAGGAAACCAAATGGAAGGCAGATAAACTCTTCTCCAAAACAAGAAATATTGGAATGAGAGTGTTTGGAAACTCTTAGGGGTAATACTTCAGAAGAGTCAGACATTAAGTGCCATTCAGATTTCACTGAACACTAGACAGAGTATTATAACCCCCTTGTTATTGATCTGTACTTAATTTCAATTCTTTTTCTCCTTTGTAGAAATTAATAATAGTTTTTACAATGAGAATACATTAGTCCTCACTTATCCATGGGGAGTGTGTTCCAGGACCCCCAGTTGATGCCTGAAACTGTGGATAATACCTGAACCATATGTATCTATAATGTTTTTTTTCCTATACATACATACTTATGATAAAGTTTAATTTATAAATTAGACATAGTAAAAGATTAACAACAGTAATACTAAAATAGAAAAATTATGAGAATATACTCTAATAAAAGTTATATGAATGTGGTCTCCTCTCAAAATATCTTACTGAACTGTAGTCACTTATTTTTGGACTATGGTTAACCACTGGTAGCTGAAGCCTCAGAGAGTGAAACCACAGATAAGGGGTGACTGCTGTGTTAGAAAGATGTTGGTGTTTTTAAAATTCCCTTTAAAACTTCACTACAGGGCCTCTGTATTTGCTCAGGAGAAAGTGTAATGGAATAAAAAGTTACTTAGTACATGTGGGGAGAGAATCTCCAGGTAGAAGTAATGATAGTCTCAAAGACAGTAGGTGGGTAGATACTTGAGATGCTCAATATAGGGAAGAGATGATAATTAGAATTCTGCAGATGAGAATACTCTCAAGTACATAAAACAGAAGTCACTATATGGGTAGTATTCCCTTAACTTGCATGTGTCTTTGCTTAGGAGAGAAATAGTGATGCAGACAATTTCCAGGTCATTTGAAATTGACTTTGGAATGTCTGTATTTTAGCCTTTTTAATGAGGCAGTGTTGCATAATAGAATAGATTCCATATTCATGCAGATTAGAGTTCAAGTTTTAGTTACTAGTTATTGAAATTTGGTAGTTTCTTAACACATGTCTTCTGAGCCTCAGTTTCCTCATCTATAAGATGAGGATGATAGCATGAATCTTGTCTGGTCGTTTAGGTTTAAAAATACTGTCTGTCCTACTACCATGTCTGAACATAGTAGATACTAAGAAAATGATAACTTTTAAAGTATTAGTTTCCTGAGCATATCAGTTTGAGTAGTGAAAAGCCTTGAACCAGTGGCAGGCACTTTATATAGAAAACAATGTAAGAGTTCAGATAAACTATTGTTGAACAATGCGGTTGATTCTGAATGTATTTCTAATTAATCTTAAAAAACTAACATTATTTTAGTATTTTATAAAGGAACTATGATTTGTCTCTGTAACAACCATTTCAGTATCCCTTAAAAGACATCTTTCTGCCTTTATCATTGTTTTCATAAAACCAGCCTTCTCCTGATTTTCCCGTGTTCTCTAGTCGTCTGGTTTCCAAAACCTGACTTTCATGTTTTACTGTTCACTCATTTTTTTGATGTTTCTCAGATATTATCCATCCCTTTTCTACCAATATTATAAACCCCAGGAATTTTGACCAAATTCCTCTGTAGTTTGGAGCTAAGCACATTCTTTGATATTTACAGCCAACAATTTCCTTCTCATCACTTTCTAATATATACTTAATCCTAAAATGTCAGATTACATTAACCTTCAAAATCCAGGCTTGTCTGCTGTCACCTTAATGACACCTTAATTAGAACAACTGCTATAGCTGTAATTGGTAAGCTAAGCTTTTTGCGTATTTTCGCAAATACTGTAAAATCTCTTAGAAACAAGATACTACTTTTTTCCAGTTTACAAATAAGGAAATGGCTTTGAGTTTATTAAGTAACTTACCTGAGGTTGCATTTAAACATCTGGTAGATATTGAAACTGGAATTTGAACCCAGTTTTGACTCCAAAGCCCATGTCTTTTTCACAATCCCTGACTGTACGAATTCAGTATAACCCTTTTAGGTCTAGTATATGAAAATGAAGTCTCATGTGATCCACGCAGTCACACTGTGAAGTAAGCAGGCTAGGTATTACACAGAACATAAAGGCTAACAGTCCAAAAATGTTGACTCTTAGAATATTTTGTTATTTCTGCATTATAAAGGAACAAACACACTAATGAAAAGGATCTGATTTTATCAGCCAGCTAGCTCGCTTACTTGGTGTTTCTCAGAAGAATTGTAACCAATGTCAGGCAATCCCTTCTGTAGCTACTCTCTTGGAACGTGTGTATTCATAAGAAAAAGCAACTCAATTGCAAATTAATTCAGATAATTTAGAGTATGCCTTTGTGACTAACAGAGGCTTATATTTGAAATCACTCTTTCTCCCGTCTGTTGTTGACTCTTGGTATATACAGATTGTCTGTCCTCTCTAGGAGTCATTTAAGTCTCTTATATCTCAATTTCAAAACTGTAATTCAACCCAGCAATCTCATTACTGGGTATATACCCAAAAGAATATAAATAATTCTATTATAAAGACACATGCATGTGTGTATTCATTGCAGCACTATTCACAATAGTGAAGACATGGAATCTACATAAATGCCCAACAGTGATAGACTAGATAAAGAAAATGTGGTACTTATACACTGTGGAATAATATGTAGCCATAAAAAAGAATGAGATTATGTCCTTTGTAGGGACATGGTTGGAGCTGGAGGCCATTATCCTTAGCAAACTAACACAGGAACTGAAAACTAAATACCACACATTCTTGTTTATAAGTGGGAGATAAATTACGAGAACCCATGAACACATAGAGGAGAACAACACATACTGGGGCCTTATGGAGAGTGGAGGGTGGGAGGAGGAAGAGGATCAATAAAAACAACTAATGAGTACTAGGCTTAATATTTGGGTGATAAAATAATCTATACAACAAACCCACATGACACAAGTTTACCTGTGTAATAAACCTGCACGTGTACTCCTGAACTTAAAAGTAAACAAACAAAACTGTTCCTTCACAGCTGCCTGGGAGGGTGGCTGGTTTTCAATCTCCACGTAGACCATCTCAGACATACCCCTTAGATTTAGCTAAAATCCATCTCATAGTTTTTCCTGGTAATGCAGTGATAATATGAAACTTACTTTTATTTACTGTATTATATATAACTCATGGTTACCCAAAACATGAACAGAATGATCTGAGTTTCCAAGACAATACATTTAAAAAGCAACTCAGTGGATAGACTTTTCTCTGGGGAAAGGTAGCAAAAAGCAAGGATTTGCTTTTCCTCTTAGTTCTCAATGGTTTCAGAGAACTATACCTTGACTGTTTTAAAAGTCTTAAGAAAGGATAATCAGGTATGTTAGTTGGGAAGGAAGACTTATTGTGGCTAGAAAAAATTTTCCCCCTACATTGTCTCAAATAAGCAGAAGCTTCCAATATTTTGAGATTTCTAATAAAAAATATTAGTTCTATCAAGAAACAATTTCAAATATATTTTCTGTAGCAGTCTTACAACTAAAGTAACCACTATCGGAGATTAACTCTTGGTTTCTTCTTTTTTTATACAATTTGTCATTTATACCACAGGCTAATTTTTCTCCTTAAAACATTCTTTTCATGCCACTCTCCTACCCAAAAACTTTTAATGATTCCCCATCAGCTCCAGTTTAAAAACCTTAAAGTCTTTTGCATATATTTTAAGATTTTAACTCATTTTTTCAACTACCATCACACATAATTCTTTGTTTCCTGAGTGTGCTACTGATTCTTACCTTAACACCCCTGCTCAGTCTTTCAATAGTTATTCCTTCGTCTACTAGTTGCAGAATGCCATACTTCTCCCCTTCCTCCTCCCAACTTGCCCCCAATCTAAATCCTGTCAAGCCTTTAGGACCTAGTTCGTTGCATTTTCTCTGGGAAGCGCTTTCTCACTGTGATTCTAAACCACTTTTCCTAATCTGAATTTGTGGGGCCCACTTAAAATTTCACTCATTTTTGTGCACTTAATTTTTAAGAGTGTATTTTATATTGTCTTTTCTGCTCTTAAAAAAAACTAATCTTACAGAAGCAGGGACCGAGAAAAACGCAGAGAAAGAGAAAGAGATATGGATCGGAAAAGGTCCCGGAAATCCCCATCTCCTGGGAGGAAAAACCCAGAAACATCAATAACTCAGAGTTCCTCTGCTCAGGATGAACCTGCTACAAAGAAAAAGAAAGATGAGCTGGATCCTCTTCTTACTCGCACTGGTGGAGCATATATTCCTCCTGCAAAGCTCAGGATGATGCAAGAGCAAATTACAGATAAAAACAGGCATGTTGATATCAATAAATATATAAGGCCATGATATTGTCATTGAAAAATAAGTCAACTGTGGTTTAATTAACTCTGGTTCTTGAGACTTTACATTAGTCTACAGTGATAGAGACCTCAAATTAGAGACCTACTTCATAGCTCCATTGGAGAACCACATACTACTTACCCTTGTATTAGCTTATAACTTCTTTTTTTGCATAAATGAATTAAAAAGTTTGAGGAAAAAAAAAGAAAAAAAGTTTGAGCAAAAGATGGCTTACCCTTTTTATAGTATTTTCGAACTGTTGTTCCTTTCATAGTTTCATGGATGCATTCCTATTGATAACATCTATTTTTTGTAGAAAAGAGTAATATTGACATTTTAGTTCTAAAATGGACCTTTCCTGTTGTAAACCGGGAGTCAATAAACTTTTTCTGTAAAAGCCCAGATAGTAAATATTTTACATCTGTGAGTCATTTTGTCTCTGTTGTTGCTGCTTATTTCTGCCATTGATTGTGAAAACAGTCGTAGGTATTGTGTAAAAAATTTTAAGTGTGGCTGTGTTCCAATAAAGCATTATTTACAAAAGCAGGTGGTCAGCTGCATTTGGCTCATGGGTGTAGTTTGCCAACCTCTATACTCATCTATAAAACTGAAGCTGGCAATTTTATCTTTTTGTATATTTTCATTAGACCGCGATATCTTAGACTATACTTTTTTGCTACTCTAAGGCAAACAAAATTTATATATGAACAGTCACACTCAAAACACTCTTCCTTCCCTTTTCAGAATAATTGGGATGGTGAGGAGCTATTTACAAAAGTGCAGCTAAGTTTTTGAGATATTTTCTCTAATAAGATGAGTTGATAACTAGGGCCAGTATGGTCCCAGATTGAAATGTTTATTCAGTTGTCAGGTAACTAGTTAAAAGATTGGGATAGAAGATATTAATAGTTATAATTTAAGAAAAACAGATGCAAGGTAAGCCAAACAGGAATATTTCCACATCTTTTCATGGGTGTTTTAATGGCAATTTGAAAAGTGCTTGAGAACTTTATATAAGTTAAATCTAAATTTGTTTCAAGGATTAGCTTGAAGTAGAAATGTCATTTATCTAAAAGAAGCTGTGAAGATTTAAAACAAATTAGAACTGAATTTAAGAACCAGAAAGGGGTATTTGTTGCCACTAAATTCCAAACTAGTAAGTTTTTCTTTACATGTCATATTTTAGCACTTGGTATTGATATTTGAAGTGTTAGGTTGAGAAGGAATTTAGAGACGGCCTTTGTGGTTAGTAGGACCTTCATTATCATGTAAGCATTTTGCTCATGCACAAGGCAGTAATGGCAGCATTACTGAAAAGGATTCAGTTTCTCCAGTCCAGTCCAAAGCAATCCTAATTGTAAAAGACTAGAAACTTTGTCAGTCCAAGTCTTGCTTCCTTTTAAATAAAGCAGACAGGGGAGAGTTAGCAATACATGAAATTTAAAGCACATTCCTTTAAGATAATTTCATAAACAGTTGAAGTCTGTTCGTAGGCTGTAAAGGGTACAAGGAGAAGTAGACATCTTTAAGAGAGCGTCATAGTCTTCGCTTTCAGTAGATACTTAGGTGAATTGTGGGCTTCCTAATTAGAAAGTATAATTGTAGTTGATGTAGCTGTTTGATTAGTTTAATAAGATAGGTTGTAATTATATATGAGCAACGTCATATTAATCAGGCTAGTTGTTAAGCCATATATCTTGTTTCTCTAGAGATAGTCAGATACCAAAGGGTTGGAATTATGAAACAGTGGAATAGTCCACCTTGGGTACAGGCAGTAAGGGGGTACATAATTTATAGAGAATTTAGAAACAAAAATTAACTGCAAAGTCGGATCTGCTTTTTATCCTCACTGTGCTGGCAATTCGAAACAATGTTAGTGATACAATCCTCGTTCCCACCAGGAACCTCTCACCAACCTGCTTTGTTGTACCACTCCAGAACAAGAATTCTTAACCTACAAGCCTTCAAGAGGTTCATAGATATAATTCAAACAGTCAATGAATGTATTTGGGGAAAAAAATGGATCTTTATTTTTGCTATTCTCTAAAATTTAGCAATTTTTACCTAATCTTATTGTGTTATTAAAGGAAAATGGTGTGTACTTAAGCATATGTACAGAAAATCAAATATGGTTTAGGATATAATCTGTTTATCCTGATAGGCATCATATATCTTGCTGTACTTGTGGGTCATTTCATGAAAATAATGTTAAAAAGTAATGATTACTAAGTAGCTTCTATGTTCTTATAGCTTCTTCTTCTTGTATTGTTGAAAAAGTTTTAATCTTTATTAAAATCACTTCTTTTTAGCTTAGCATATCAGAGGATGAGTTGGGAAGCCCTAAAGAAGTCAATTAATGGCCTTATCAACAAAGTCAACATTTCCAATATAAGTATTATAATTCAAGAGCTTCTTCAAGAAAATATAGTTAGAGGAAGGTAAGTATCAGCTATTTTATTTGTAGTATTTCTAGTAACATTTTCAAAGGAATATATCTACATGAATAATAATCATTGATTTATTGTGCTACTTCATTTCAAAGGTCCTTGAGAATATTTATTTAAAATGCAATGCTTATAAAAATATAGGCTGCTAAAAAATAACTAGTGCCTTACTGTTACAGGTTGTTTGGAATTTTTGATTTTTGAGAAGCTTTGCTTTCACATAGTGGTTTTTGTGGACATTTACTTAATGCCTCCAATAATTTAAACTCATGAGGAATAATGAATATTAAAATATGCTACCCCAAACTCATTTAATTATTTATTTTTTTAAATTGTATATGTGGTAATACATCATGATGTTTTTATACACATTACTTTGTAGAATGGCTAAATCAAACTGTTTAACATACACATTCACATACCTGTCATTTTTTGTGGCAAGAACACTTAAAATCTACTCTGTTTTCAGTTTTCAAGTATACAATATCTGGTTGTTAACTATGGTCAAAATATTGTAGAATGGATCTCTGGAACTTATTCCTATTATCTAATTGAAATTTTATGTCCACTGACTAGCATCACAGTTCCCCCAGCCCTCAGCCTCTGGTAACCATCATTTTATCCTCTGATTCTATGAGTTCAATTTTTTTTTAGAGTTCGCATATTAGTGAGATCATGCATTATTTGTCTTTTTTGTGCCTGGCTTATTTCACTTAGTATAATGTTTTCCAAGTTCATCTGTGTTTTTGCAAATGACAGGATTTCCTTTATGGTTGAATAGTACTCCATTATGTATGTATACATTTTCTTTATCCATTTATTCACAACAGACACTTCTGTTGTTAACATACTTGACTATTGTGAATCATACTGCAATAAATGTGGGAGTGCACATACATCTTCAACATAATGATTTCATTTCCTTTCAATATTTACCCAATAATGGGATTGCTGGATCAAACGGTAATTATAATTGAAAAAAAAAAACTTTGTATTGATTTATTTTAGATGGGGGTATTGCTTTACTGCCATGCCAGAGTACAGTGCATGGACGTAGCCCACTGCCCCCTTGAGTTTCCGGGCTCAAGGAATTCTCCCACCTCAGACTCCTGAGTAGCTGGGACTGCAAGCACTCACCACCATGCCAGGCTAATTTTTAAAAATTGTGTAGAGAATGAAGTCTTGCCATCTTGCCCAGGCTAGTCTCGTACTCCTGGGCTCAAGCAGTCCTTCCCCCTTGGCTTCCCAAAGTGCCAGTATGACAGGCGTGAGCTACTGCACCTGGCTGGTAGTTTTAGTATTTTAAGGAACCTTTATACTATTTGCATAATGGCTATACTAATTTACATTTCTACCAACAGTGTACAAGGGTTCTCTTTTCTCTATGTCCTTCCTTGGCAACACTTGTTATTTTTCATCTTTTTTATTACAGCCGTTGTAACAGGTGTGGGGAGATGTTTCATTGTGGTTTTAATTTACGTTTCTTTAAGATAATTGGTAATGTTGAGCATTTTTTTCATGTATATAGGCTGTTTGTACATCCTTTGAAAAATGTCTGTTTTTGTCATTTGCTCATTTTTTAGATTGGGTTATTTGTTTTCTTACTATTGGGTTGAATTCCTAATTTATTTTGGATATTAACCCCTTAGCAAATAGATGGTTTGCAAATGTTTTTTTCCATTTTGTAGGTTGTCTCTTCACTCTGTTGATACTTTCCTGTACTGTACAGAAGCTTTCTAGTTATATGTAATTCCATTTGTCTCTTTTTGCTTTTGTTGCCTGTGCTTTAGGGGTCATATCCAAAAAAAATCATTAACAATACCAGTGTCTAGGAGGTTTTCCTCCTTATTTTCTTGTTAGAGTAGTTTCGCAGTTTCCGTCTTATGGTTTAAGTCTTTAATCTATTTTGCGTGGATGTTTGTGTATGGTGTGGGACTAAGATCTATTTTCATTCTTCTGCATATGGATATTCACAGCATTTATTTACTTACTTTTATTTTACTTTAAGTTCTGGGATACATGTGCAGATCTTGCAGGATTATTACATAGGTATACATATGCCATGGTGGTTTGCTGCCTTCATACCCCTGTCACCTACATTACGTATTTCTCCTAATGTTATCCCTCCCCAATCTCCCCACCCACTGCTATCCCTCCCCTAGGCCCCCACCCCACAACAAACCCCAGTGCGTGATGTTCCTTTCCCTGTGTTCATGTGTTCTCATTGTTCAGCACCCACTTATGAGTGAGAACATGTAGCCTTACACCATTTATTGAAGATACTGTCTTTTCCCTATTGGGTCTTCTTAGCCTCTTTGTTGAAAATCAATTGACTGCAAGTGCCTGGATTTATCTCTGGTTTATTTGTTCTCTGTAGCTCCATGTGCCTGTTTTTATACTACTGTCATGCTGTTTGGATTACTATAACCTTCGTAGCAGATTCTAGGTCTGGTAGTGTGATGCCTCCAGCTTTGTTCTTTTTGTTCAAGATTGCTGTGGCTATTTGGAGTCTTTTGTGGTTCCATGTGAGTTTTAGGATTGTTTTTTCTATTTCTGTGAAAACTGTATTGGAATTTTGAGAGATTGAGTCGAATCTGTATATTGCTTTGGATTTTATGGACATTTTAATAATATTTCAATCCATGGACATGGGATATCATGTGTGTTCTTCCATTTTTCCATCAGCAATTTGTAGTTTTTGGTGTATAGACCTTTCACAGGTTTTCTTTTTTCCATAGCTATTGTAAATGGGATATTTTCTTGATTTCTTTTTCAGATAGTTCATTGTAAGCATATGGAAGCACTACTGATTTTTGTATGTTGATTTTGTGTCTGCAGCTTTACTAAATTAGTTTATTAGTTCTAACAGTTTTTTTGGTTAAGTCTTCAGGATTCTCTATATTAAGATCCCATTTATAGCAAAGAGACTTCTCTATTTTTTATTCGGATTCTTTTTCTTTCTTTCTTTTGCCTAATGGCTCTGGCTAGGTCTTACAGTACTATGTTGAATGGAATTGGAAAGAGTAGGCACCCTTTTGTTATTCCTTATCTTAGAGGAAAAGCTTTCAACTTGTCACTGTTGAGTGTTACTAGCTGTGAGCTCATCGTATATAGCATTTATTCCAATTTAATTTCTAATGAGAGTAAAATGAGAATGTGAGAGAAATGGGAAAGATGAGCAATAAATTTCAGAAAAGCAGAAGGGAATCACCATATTCTATAATATGTGGCTTTAAGCAATTGGTGATATTTAAAAGGGTCAAAAAATAGAAGTACCCCATGTTCTATTTATTATTTTAGAATCTGTGGGCTGTTTTCTCATGTGATTTTACATGACTCTGATTCTTTTAAAAAATAGGGACTATATAGCCAGGCATGGTCATTCAATATCTGTAATCTTAGCACTTTGGGAGCCTGAGGCAAGTGGATCAGTTGAGTCCAGGAGTTTGAGACCAGCCTAGGCAACATTGTGAAACCCCGTCTCTACCAAAAATACAAAAAGTAGCTGGGTGTGGTGGCATGCAGTAGTCCCAGCTACTCCGGAGGATGAGGTGGGAGTATTGCTTGAGCCTGGGAGGTGGAGCTTACTGTGAGCCATGATCATGTCACTGCACACCAGCCTGGGTGGCAGAGTGAGACCCTGTCTCTCCCCAACCTCACCAAAAAAGGTTGGGGTATAAAGTAGATGTAGCAAGTTGTAGAGGTACAGAAAGTTGATCAAGAGACAGCCATTATCCTTAAAAGTAGGCACCTGAACCCATGAGGCAGAGGTTGCGGTGAGCTGAGATCGTGCCATTGCACTCCAGCCTGGGTAACAAGAGCAAAACTCCATCTTAAAAAAAAAAAAAATTAAAAAAAGTAGGCAGAGGTCTCTCCATTTTACTTAGGAAAAAAAGTAGAGTTAGAAGAGTTATGGATTGCTAAAGATATTATAATTTATAAGCTGCATCCTTTTTCTCATTTTCTACTCTAGCGATTCAGTTGTCATATCTAAATCTACCATTAAGACTTTTTTTTTCTGACTTTTGGCAATCCAATAATTGTCATTACACTGCTAAAAATAACTTCAATTTGTGCGATTTGCCTTTTTCCCCTTTCTCATCAAATGCATATAAAAACATGACCATTTTCAAAATCAGTTACAAATAGGTACCTTTTAATTTTCTGTCATTGTTTTAGCATTAATCTTGCATTGTTTTTAATTGTGTCTTTATTTCTCATAGGAGTATTCCAGATCTTCATTTTATTCTACTAAAATTAGACTTAAAGATTTAAAGTCAAATTTGTCTTTAATCACAAAATTAATATTATAAAAATGATGGACCTGTAGTAGAAACTTTATGTTGTCTAACTTTTGAAGCAGGTCTGTTTTTGTTTACTTTTTTGAAAGTGTTAAACAAATTATTTATATGAGCCTTAAAAACCTCAAATTCATAATTACATATAACAAACAGACTGGGATAAGAGGAATTATATATAGAGAGAAAAATTTTGAAGATAAATTGCAGTAAAATCTTTATTCTATCACAAATTCACATTTTGTTTTCTGAAAAACAATTTTTATTAGTAAGATGAACTCTTTCTAGTTAGTTCTGATTTAGATTTTATGATTATTTACAGAGAACTATTAATGAATTTTAATAGTTTTTGTTTCATTTAATTAATTTGGTGTTTATTGTTGACTCCTTTTTTATTCTTTTTTAAACAGAGGACTGCTGTCCAGGTCTGTTTTGCAAGCACAGAGTGCGTCTCCAATCTTCACCCATGTTTATGCAGCATTAGTGGCAATTATCAACTCAAAATTTCCACAAATTGGAGAATTGATCCTCAAGAGGTTAATTCTTAATTTTCGAAAAGGCTACCGAAGAAATGATAAGGTATATATGAATGGCTTGTAAGTAGAATTATACATAGGAACAGACTAATAAACCAGTATCAACAAAAGTAAGCAAGGTTAATTTTGACACAGGTACATGTATAATACTTTTGAAAAACTGTCTTTCTTCAGAACTTCTTTTGTTCTGTTAGATATACCTGACCACTAATCATGAGCCACAAAAACTGATGACTAGACTGTAGAATTATAACTAACCAGAAATGATAGTCTTTCATGTGTTATTTTATCTTAAAACTTTCTTATAATATAAAAATTATACTTTTGTATTACATGTTTTAAATAGATTATGTTAGTAGGCCATAGATTCTATAAACAAATGAATAGCAGGTTTAATTTATGGATTAACTTTGTCTCTACTCTTCATTTTTCAGCAACTTTGTCTGACTGCTTCAAAATTTGTGGCACATCTTATTAACCAAAATGTGGTAAGTAATTATCTTCAAAACTTGGTCCAATTCAGTGGCATTAGACCACAGGGTTGATGCCACTCCACTGATAACTCTAGTTTTTGTTTTACTTTATAGTTTTTGGAATAAGTATGTTGTATTATATTTTCATTTTAAAAGTATAATGTATTTAATATTCTTTAACATAACACTTTGATGCTAATCAAAGCACTTTTAGATATTTTATCAAATTAATCTGACTTAATACTGTACATGGTTACTTGACTACAAACCATTCCTTTGAAGAACCATTTCATTTTTATGAAATAATAAAGTTGGTATCTCCTCCACTTCATTCCCTGTACCTGGTATTCATGAGAACCTAATAAATATCTAATATTCTACAAAAACTTATGTTCCTTGCAACCACATAGTATAGTCATATATTTGTAGAATCACTTTATAGAATATAGTTGATCAATTTTAATCTGTTTCAGATGCAAATAATTTTATCATGCTGTTATTCCATTTGTGTTTATTTTATATTCATTCTATATTTGATGGTTTTTAGTTTCTGTTTAACCTTGAAAGTGGCAAAATTGTTCTTGCTTATACTCAAAAGTTTCCTTCAGTTATATGTTATCATTTACAATTTAATATCATGTATAACATGTATAACAGGAAGAATTTTATAGTCACACTTACTCTTATTTCACTAACATTAAAGGTTTTGGTTCTTATTTACATGAAAATTCTTTCACTCTTAGAAATCTTTTAGATTCTAACCTAGTCATTGTATTATTACGATGATAGCTTGCTACTTAAGACCTTGGAAACTTAATTTCACATCTATAACCACAGAGATATATTTTCGTTTTTAATTGTGTGTTACACTTGGACTAGAGATTTTTGGTTTTGCCATAAAACACTCAATGTGACAAATTTTTTGCATCTTCCCAACTCTGGTACAGGGCAGTTTTTTTCTTGTCACTGATGTAAGACTATTTGACACTCCTCCTCCCCTCATAAAAAGAACCAGTGGGTGTCTTTGATGTGCATAATTGGAAGAAGATAGACGCTTGAGTTGAGATTTAGACTTCTTTCCTCCCCATTTCAAATCACCATCTGACTTTAGAAAGGCATATGTATGGTGTTGTAAACATTCTTTGTAGTTCTTTTTCTTCTCATACCAAAGTTTCTCAGTAGAATTTTATTCCCACTCGTCCTGCCATTGTTTATAAATTTCAGTTTTTGAATGTGGCCAGTGGAAATAGTTTGATTTATTTTTTTTTTAAAGATAGAATATTCCAAACTGTTGTGTTCCGGAAGTTATTAAGATATTTTGTGATAAAATTAATATTCATGTAACTGAAGGACTATTTGTGTCTAATAGAGTTGCTGATAGAATGAATTGGGAAATGTATATAAAGAAGTGTAGTCATGTAGAAGGGAATTATAAATCATATTACTATTTCTTACGTAGTAATTATGAAAATAATTATCTTATTAGAAAGTAGTATATGATTTTTAACATATTTAATCGATGACACTTTCCATACATAATGGCTAAGAATATTTCTTCTGAAGATAATTCAGATAGTTGTATTCAGCATAAAAAAATAAGATTTTTGGAGCAGTCATCTGAAAACTTTTAATAGATTGGTAATAAAGGTAATAGAAAAATTGTATCCGTATTTGGAGTTTTCTGTTTGCTTTATAAAACTTTGTCCATCATATGTGCAATATAATTATTGTAAACAAGATTTACTAATTTTTAGAAATTATAAACAATATTTTAATGTATGTAAAAGCATTTTTTTTTCCTTCATATATATGTATTCTATTTAAGGCACATGAAGTTTTGTGCTTAGAGATGCTCACTTTGCTCCTGGAAAGACCAACAGATGATAGTGTTGAAGTAGCTATTGGTTTTCTCAAGGAATGTGGCCTCAAATTAACACAAGTGTCACCAAGAGGAATCAATGGTAAGTGTACATTCTTAGTTTGATGTTAAGTTTTTGTTTGAGTATTGTAATATTTATTGCTTCTTTTATTGTCTTTTCTTTGTTTACCTTTAGCTATATTTGAACGCCTTCGAAACATTCTGCATGAGTCTGAAATTGACAAAAGAGTTCAATATATGATTGAAGTGATGTTTGCTGTACGGAAAGATGGATTCAAGGACCACCCCATTATCCTAGAAGGTCTTGATTTGGTGGAAGAAGATGATCAGTTCACCCATATGCTCCCTTTGGAGGATGACTATAATCCGGAAGATGTTCTTAGTAAGTCTGGGGCGTGGTAGGTAGAAAGTGGAGCACCAACAAATATAAATATAGAAAATAAACATTAACTTCTAATTTCTTTTTAAGATGTTTTCAAGATGGATCCTAATTTTATGGAGAATGAAGAGAAGTACAAAGCTATTAAGAAAGGTATGTAGAATTTTATAAAATAATATATTTTGGAAAAGTAAAAGCAATTTAAGTAGTCACACAATACTGATAACGAAATAAATATTTAGAGATCACTGATCCCCACCTAATGAAATCTCTGCTTTTGTAAAGTTATTCTCTAAGCTGTTTCCTTGGGCATTATGTTTTTCCTGGTACTTGCCCATGGTTTTTTACTTCATTCTGAATTATTTACCCCATTGTTCCTCTCTTCTTTCCCTCTAAAGTATGCAACCCTTAAGTCTCACCCATCTTAAGAAATATTCATAGATTAGTAGTGACCTTTATTTAACTTCTGTACCACTTACTGTCTTTGCCACCCAGTTTAATATTCAATTAAGTGGTAAACTTTGTTGTAAAGTGCTATACTTATATTGTTTCTTAAGGTCAGGTTGATGTAAGGTGAATCATAGTATTGGTGCCTGATAAATTGATCATTGGCATTTGTACATCATTGGTATATGGTAAGCACTGACTTTGGACAGGTTTTGATTTGTAATTTGTCTTAGACATTACTAGCTGAGTGACCTGTAGCAAGTTACTTGTTTGATGGAAGACTAAATATTACCTTTCTATAGAAGGATACATAGAATACATTGTTGTGTATTATCACAGGCTGATAGCTATTATTAATTACTGTTATAATTTTCACATTTGCATTTGTTTCCTCCTAAAGCTGACACTCAGGCCTACTTTCATAATAATTTTATGGCCTTATTTGTCTTGAATTGTAGAGAAGTATTTAATACTGTGAAAGCAATAAATATTTATCTTTGTATTAAACCCCAAAAGTTTGCATTAAAAGCTCTCTAAACGTAAATGTTGGTCAGCTTTGCAAAATCTTTTATCAGGCTAACAGAGCACGATTGGGCAAAATATAACTTCAGTTTTTGTTATTTGTTTGCTTGTAACACAAAGATCAGCCTTATGTAGTCTTATATACAGAGGAAGTAGAGACCTACTCTGTCACTGTCTGCATTCCATTGTTCAGTAGTGCTTAGAAGTGGAAGGTTGAAAGGAAAAGAAAAGTGGGAGAAGTCTTCCATTCCTATACATTATCCTTAAAATCTGGTATAGTAAATGGGGTTCTCTTCTTAGATGCTAATTTCCTAGGAGCTTTTCACTGTAACCTGCTAGATTCCTTTTTTCTGTTATATTTTTGTTTCCAAATAGAGAACTCCATAGATCCATTTTGCCTTCGTATGAACCTCTTTTCCTGCAGTTTCCCTGAAAGATGCCACACGTTTTTTGTGAAATTCTTAAATACTCCTCATTTGATTTCTTTCTTTTTTAAACTTGAGAATTCTCTATCCATTTCTTTAGTGTCTAGGCAATTGACCAATGGCTGGAAAGTAGTACTTTCTTTTATTACAGCAGTTATCAAATTCTTTGGTCTCAGGATCCCTTTATACTCTTGAAAATTATTGACAGCTCCAAAGAACTTCTTCTTATGTGGGTTTTATCTATTGATATTCATTTTATTAAAAGTTGAAACAATATAAAAGAATTTATTCAATTATTTCAAAATAATGGCAAACCTAGTATATGTTAACATAAATTACATATTTTAATGAAAATCGTTATTTACAAAACAAATTTGGTGGGAATGATGTTTTATATATTTTGTATTATACCTATATTTTATAAAATTTTATTTGTGTAGTTTACTGTTTGGCCTAATGGGAGGCAGCTGGACCCTCATATCTGCTTCTACATTCAACCTACTGCAGTGGGTTGTTTTAATTGAAGTACATGATGAAAATCTAGCCTCAGATAGGTAGGTAGTTAGAAAAAGGGAGCAGTATTTTAATAGCCTTTGCAGATAAATGCCAATATTTAACAACTAGTAGTTTTAAGATTAATTGCAGTGTGAATTCTGAAACAATATCAATGAACTTTGATAGTGTTACATTAGAATGCATTTGTCTGTCACTTTAAATACATCTTTTACTCATGTATGATTTTGTAATGCTGCATTAGTCATTTAGAAAATACTAACTCACTGAATTATGCATTTTTAAAATGTTAACCTTAATATTATGAAAATCAAATTAACATGTTGATACAATATCTAGATAGCACATTTAATAATATTGCTAATTTCCTAGGAGCTTTTCACTGCAACCTGCCAGATTCCTTTTTTCTGTTATAATTTCGTCCAAAAAATCTAAGTATTAGGGAGCTCTTAAGCTCACAGGGATGGATATTAGTTTTTCAAAATTCTTGAAAACGCTAATGTCATCGTTGCAGATATCGTGAATTGTTTTCCGTGAAGTGACAGTCTCAGTTCGTTTGCATTTGAGAAATTGTTGGCCAAATATCTAACAACTATAGTTAGTTGGCCAGTTCTTTCAAGTAAAAATGAAAAAAATAGCTAACTCACCTTGCAAAGCAGTCAAACAATTGGTTTTCCTTGACATAACTGTCCTCATTGTATATCTGTCTTTAACAGAAGTGCTATATATATGAACTTTATATTTCATCACTCAGATTAGGATAAAATCCTATATTCAGGGCTGAGATTTAATAAAATTAGTTATGTTTTACTTCTTCATCAAGTACATTCTCAGATGAAACTGGCTTTCTGCTTCAAGAGGATGGTAGTAAAGAATACATTGATTACTAGTGAATTTTGGTGCCTCAGTGCTTGGATTACAGCAGTTTTAAACCCTGTTGCTTTTGGATCATCATCACAGATGTCAGCACAGTTAAAAGGCAGATGCTGTCTTGGTATTATTATGAAAATAGTTTTGACCTCACAGACCACCTGACAGAACTCAGATCCTCCTTGGACTCCTAGACCATGCTTTGAAATCACTACTTTATTCAGTTAATGAAATCCAATTGTCCTTGTCTATGTGATTTTAATAAGTAGATTCTAAAGTGCAGAGCTGAGAAGATGATGATGTAAATGATGAGACAATTCATTTGACCTTCACTGTTTTGTAAAACATTCGTCTAGAGCTGGAAAAAAACGTCCCAACAGGAAGGGGGCGCAGCTTTAATAATTAGCACCTTAGACTGACCCAGGTGTACTTGTGTTTTAGATCTTAACAGCATTTGGGAAAACAGCAGGAGTGCCTGTCTTCCTACTATTGAATACTAAATAGTTTCTTCTTTTAAAAGTCTGTCTAAGCCATGTTGCATAGTAATAAACTAGATACTTTAGATTATCTCTTGAATTCATATTTGTTAGAAATATTCTTGAGAATTGTATGTCAGATAAGGGCTGAATGACTCCTCTTCATTTTTATAAAATGATTTGTTTCTCATAATATGAAGTTCTCTGCTTACTTTCATTATGTGTCTCCTGGTTTATACTGCTTAGTTAAATATAAAGAAATTAGAATTTTTCTTAAAATGAATTGATTCCAGAACTTTGTATTAAAAGCTCTCTGATTATAATAGAAATGCAAAAATAAAGAGTTGGTCAGGTTTGCAAAATCTTTTATCAGGCTAGCAGAGCACAATTGGACAAAATATCATTTTAGTTTTGTCATTTGTTTGCTTTTAGCATAATGACTGGCCTTATGTAGTCTCAGATACATCACTGTTTTCATCCAGTTCTGAATATATCATTTGTGTTTTTAAAAGTGATAATCCAATACAGTGCTTGTCTTACCAGTTGTCTTAAAGGCTTTTAAACTTCTATTTCTGTTTTATGTATGAAAAGTCTTCGGATTTATTGTAATGTTCAATTTAGTAGGTATACATGTTAATAAAAATCTCATTACTATTTATTTCACGTGAATACTAAATTATGCAATTATTTTCTCTTCCTTCTTTGTCTTTCCTAGTACCTTCTTAGCGTAAATTCTTGTTTTCTGTATCTAGCCTTAATTTTTTTTTATAACGGACTGACTGCTTTCTGATGATAAAACAATATTGACTCCCATATGCTAGCTTCTATTCTTAATATTTTTCCAGTGCTCTTTCTCTTTTCAAAAACCGTCATCTGCTTTTTTTGTTGTTGTTTTTCTCATCTCCTTGTTTCATGGCCACTTTTTATGTGGCAAAAGAATGTTGCCCTCTCTAGTCATATCAGTCATATGGCTCTCTCTAGTCATCAGTTGTAATGCTTTTTCACCACCTAGGTAATAACACAAGGCTTGATGGTTATCTTTGTTGGCTGGTAAACTGTTATACCACAGTGGATTTCAATGCACTGGGAATTATCTTCTTAGAATGAAATACATATATAGGGCTGGGCGCGGTGGCTCAAGCCTGTAATCCCAGCACTTTGGGAGGCCGAGGCGGGTGGATCAAAAGGTCAAGAGATCGAGACCATCCTGGTCAACATCGTGAAACCCCGTCTCTACTGAAAATACAAAAAATTAGCTGGGCATGGTGGCGCGTGCCTGTAGTCCCAGCTACTCAGGAGGCTGAGGCAGGAGAATTGCCTGAACCCAGGAGGCGGAGGTTGCAGTGAGCCAAGATCGTGCCATTGCACTCCAGCCTGGGTAACAAGAGTGAAACTCCGTCTCAAAAAAAAAAAGAAATACATATATATTAGTTGCACATTATTTTTTTGCTAAACTTTGTACTTTACAGAAATTCTTGATGAGGGAGACAGTGACTCAAATACAGACCAAGATGCTGGGAGCAGTGAAGAGGAAGAGGAAGAAGAAGAGGAAGAGGGAGAAGAAGATGAAGAAGGTAAACATGTAGCATATTCAAATAATATTATAAGATACTCTAAAATTAAATTAATTGTAGTATAATGTTCTAAAACAGTAGTTCTTGTTGGGGAGAGCAAGGAGGGATGCTGACGGCATCTAGTGGGTGAAGACTAGGGCTGCTTTTAAACAGCCTGCAAACCACAGGACAGGATATGATCCAGCCCAAAATTTGAACAGCAAGATATGATCTAGCCCAAAATTCTAGTATTGCCAAGCTTGAGAAACTGCTCAAAAAGTATTTTAACAAATTCTTTTTTTTTAGCATCAGCACAGTTTTAATTTAGTATATTATGCCTTTGATTATATTATGGACTATGGAAACATGTATTCATACTGAGTACATGTGATTTATGTAGCCCAGGCAGGAATGTGACAAATGAGAGTGACTGGATATTTGCTGTTCATTTTGGAAAAATAGAGTGGGGAGGCCAAAAGCTGTATTTGCACAGAAGTAGTATGTTTTTCCTCTCAGCTTTGATTACATTATTTCACAGAAATAAGCTCAGAACTTTACTTTGGTTAAGGCACAGTTAATATATCAGAACGTACATAAACTGTTCATTATTCACATGCATTACATGTGTGAAGATATTAAAAGTTTATCTTTGCCTTTTAGGGTATAGTATATACTTCTGTATTATAGTACTATTATTCTTCTATGATGTATTTTGTAAAAATAGATTTAATTTTTTCTAATTTTTTTATTGAAATCATCTATGTACTACATTTTACTTTAGAATTTCCTTGTGTTATGTAAAAATACTGTTCAAATAAAAACTATAAAATATTTATAAGGAAAGTTTTCATGCATTAAATAAGAAAAAATTTTGACAAATACACATATTTATGTTGAACTCATTCAGCCTGTTACGATGATCCAATGTTCTCTGAAGCTCAATGTTTACCTCTGAGTTATATGGTGCTTCTAAATTATCAATATTGTTTATAATTCTAGAAATAATATTTTACCAAACAACAGGATGAGTGCAGCCTTTCATAGTGTCTAAATGAGCAAATGACAGAGAAAAAAAATAGTTTTCTTGGCTTGGTTCTGAACTTCTTTGAGCTAACAGTATCATATAGCAAAAGACTTGAGATAGTTACTTTGAATTCTGTAAATACTAATTTGCAGAGTTATAAAAAGGTATTATTAAATTCGTATTGATTCTAAATAGATTTATGAAGAAAATACAGAAATACATTTTAGCTTCTTCACATTTATTTTTGCAGTTTTGTAATTTTGTTACGTTTCTTTCAGGACAAAAAGTGACTATTCATGACAAAACGGAAATTAATCTGGTCTCATTTCGTCGTACAATTTATCTTGCTATTCAGTCAAGGTAAGAAATCATCTCTTAGTTGTTCCTTTGTTTTTGATAAGGGATGGGTAAGGAGATCGGAGATACATTTTGAGATCTCAACAGAAAACTGCACACCATTTCAGCATTCTTAGACTGCCTACCTCTCTCTCCCATCCCATGCCCACCGAGCTCATAGTTCCCTTCTGTTGGTTCTTTGCTTTACACACAAATTGTCTTTGATTGGAAGGTTGAAGTGTGTTACATAATTAAATGGTATTTTAGCTGTATCATTTCTTATAGTTAAGTGCCACTAATAAAAACCTGAAAATAATTCTGTCTTATAAGATAGCAGAGTATTGAATTGTATAATGAAAATTTAATATTTAACATTTTTAAAATTTGGTTTCTGGGTCTGGTTCTAGGCAAAGAAGCACTGTTGTGATGACTGTTAGACAGTGATTTGCTCTGCAGATGTAAATGAATATAAACAGAAACAGGAATTAGACTTAGGAAGGTTTTGAGGGCTCTTTGAAGTAATGCTAAGTAAGAAGTAGTGTGATGTGATGTCCTGAAAACAAAGCCTATTCCCTTTGAAGGCTGTGAATTTGGTTTTGAAGAGAAGTAAATGAGGATGTTAAATCTTAGTCCATCTGTTACTTTATATGCGAATCAACCTATTGATTTAATGGGCACAGTGTTTACATTTTACACTGGAGGAGAAATGTTTCCTCAGTTTTGTTTCATTACTAGTATATTTCCATTTAGTATGATGTAATAGCAATAATGATTCATAAGTAGGAGTCATCTGTTTTCAGTCTGAACAATTTTTGGCTTTAGGTTTATCTTCAAATACAGGAATGTTAAACAGTGAAACATGGGTTGGGAATTTTTTTGGCTTTATCCTTACCTGTTTTCTCTTCACATAAAAAGGTATTAAATATTTTTTCATATAAACTTAAAGTGAAAGATGATAAATATTTTGTCAGAGGTAAATATTCTTAGAGTTTGACCTTTCATTTGTTTGTCCTTCTTCAGAAATCCAACAGTAATCAGTTGTGAGCAGCAGATTTACTGTGTTAGTGTTGCAGTTAACATTAACTTTGAAGAGTTACAGTGGGGCTCTTTGAATAATTATTTAAAAGAAATGTAACCTTGATAATCTCTGAATCACACAAAAGCCTTGAAAAATTAAAGCATTAAAAAACAAGTAATAGCCACTGTTACATAGTGGTATCAATCCCTAGTAGCAGTGACTCCTGTCTTATGTGTTGATTTTTTGTGGGGATTGTTTGTTATTTTTCTAAATATTATTAATTTTAATTAGTTAATTTTTATTTATAATTTACACATAATAGTTGTATACAATTATAGCCTAAGGTAATGTTTCAAGGCATATATACATTGCATAGTCATATCAGGATAATTACCTTATTTATCTCTTTAAACCTTCATCATTTCTTTATGATGACAACATTCAAATCTAGCTACATTGTTATTTACTGTAGTCACCTTGCTATGTAAAGTGAATCAAGGGCTTATTGTTCATGCTATTTGACCCTTGTTTTTCATTACTGTATTTCCTAAAGATATAAATGTGGACACATAATTATATACAGAATTGTTTGTTGCAAAAGAAAAAATGGAGACAGTCTTATTTTCCACCACTATCAAAATGTTCAGTCTGTGCCACCACTGAAAATTAGGTTAATAGAAAATTGTTTTAAATGTGAGCAAACAGTCTGATGTGATTTTAGGTGGGATAAAAACTATATATAGAATTGTGCTTGTAATATTTTCCTAACTGTAAAAATAGACGGATTCTAGAAATAATATGTTAATATATCAGTAGTGATTGTCTTGACATGAGGTTGGATTAAGTGATACTTTAGTGTCTGTCTTCAGTTTTTGTATTTTTCAAAAGCTTTTTGTTTATTGTATACCAGGCTAAAAATCAAGAATAGGATGTAATCATCAAGCCAGGTGGCTATAAGGGCATCTTAAACAGTCCACTTGAAAATCTTGTGAATAAAAACTTAGTTCTGGCAACAGAACTGGGTCGGAATTTTATTTTTTAAATTTGTTTTTGTTGACTGATATCACCAGTAGTCTTATCTTCCTTCTGGTATGGCCCCTAAATTACCCGTTTTTTATATGCATGAAACATTAAACTACACAATTGCCTTGGCTGTTAAAGATAAAGCATTCCTGTTTATTCTTGCTTTTAAACGATGTTCCAGTCTGATTTTACCTTTTTGAAGTTGTAACTAACATGAGAGGGAGATGGACTACCATGTCCCCACCTGTTCAGAGTTTCTGAAATTGGACATATCAACAAAACCACTTTGTAAACCATCATGTAAACAAAACAGTAATTCAGTAAATGTCTTCTTTTTTCTTTACCCTCCCCTCAATCGCTATTTATTTGTGTTAAACCTGAAACTCATTTGGTTTAGCAACCTAAGATGAGAAGCAAAATATCAACAAAATTTAATTCACTTAATATGCATAATTAGTACAGCCTAAAAGCTATCTTGGTGTAGGGAGTCATTAAGTACTTTCAAAATAAAACAAGAACAAGAACAAGAACAACAGACTGTCTTACAGCTAACTTTCTCCCTGATACTTCACTTAGTAGATAAAAGGAAAGTAGTAACATTTCTTCATCAACTACTTGATTGTTTTTCAGAAATTTCAGGATTTTATCTTGTACTAATTTTGTTTTTTTAAAAAGGTAGAAAAGAAAAAGTCACATCTGTTTTAAATGTTTTTTGTTTTGCTGTATTATTAATCGGTTACCATTTAGTATTTTAATCTTAATGTTAGATACTGTTTAATATTCTCTGTTATATAATCTCTTTCCTGGTAGGTTTTTTTCTTTATTTCGATGCCTTATATCAGCCTGGATTATTACCCTGTTGTGCTTAGGAAACCCTTTAAGTAATAAAAGCTGAGAAATACAGATGAACTGCAAAACTAAGTCCATAATCATTATATTTCAATTAGTGATTTTTATGCTGTGTTATCAAAAATAAAGGTGTGGGCATTCCACAGAAATGCAAATATAGTAGCATTATTAATCAATAAAGCAACTAACAAATTGAGTTTGCTAATTCTCTTAGGTGAACTATGCTGATGATATTTTAAAATCTGTTCATATGAATACTGGATATTTTTTTCTTGCAAGATTTTTTTGTTTACCATTTTTGTATGTGGTATTTATAAAATGTGGATGCCCTGTGTTTAGGTTAAACCAAGCTGACTTGTAAAAGTAGTGAGTAAGCACTAACGTCGTGCTGAGCTCTTGGAACATCTTTTACCTCTTGGAAGCAGTATAGAAAACTCTAAGAAATTTGCGATGTTTAGTAAAAGTAGATAGAGTTATGATAGAGTAATGTATCATTTACTCTTCCACGCTGAGATTTTAATGTAAGCAGAGAAACTTGACCTATGTTTACTCCTCTCTTAATTAGGACTTTTCCTGGTTTCTCTAAACACATGGTAGACATTTCAAGATATGACTTGTCAAATTAAATATTAATTATAGCCTTTTCTTCTGAAATATTGGGCGAGAAAGTATAAATATTCCTGTGTTCAAGTTCTGCTTCCAGGACTATGTGGCCAGGAGCAAGTTTCAAACATAAAATACTTAAGGCTCATTTTTCTCATCTATAAAAAGAGCATCTAACTAGATCGTCTCTAAATCCTTCGAAATCCTGTGTATAAACCGCCTATAGGTGTTTTCACCTCCAGTTGTTTCTAATTTAGGTGTACATTTGTGAATGGGAATGCATTTCTTAAAAATTTTAGTTATAATTATTTATTTTAAAGAAGTATTAACATTTTAAAGCCTTTATTTCTTTGTCCTCATTGTTAACCATCCTAACTATTGTTTTATCTAAGCTTTTGAATAGAGTTGATTTTTTCTTTCTTAGATTTATTTAGCAACTAAATGTAGAACAGAACAGCTAGGTCTCTTGAAAACCTTGAGCATTGGGAAATACTTCATGAGATCTGGGACCTAGTTACCCAGATTTAGAGTACTTAGACTTGTTTTGTAATATGAACTTGAATAAACTGTTCAAGTCAGAACAGTTAATAAATTCTTTATGTACAGTTAATATCCTTCAGTGCTTGAAGGAAAAGGTATTGCTAACACTTAAGAATTTACTGCCATCATACTTGAGTGGCCAGTTTGTAGTGGGAAGACTTTCGATAAGCATAATATGATTGCAGAAATGAGAGAAACTTACACATCGTGTGTTTTGTTTCTTCACTTTAAAATGAAGAAAATCATATAGATTAGAAACCCTTCTATCTGATGAGTTATAGCATGAGGATGGTTGGTTTGAGGGAATAATACAAATCAATGCAAACAACTTTTTTATTTTTATTTTTGCCTGTTTAAGATTGATATTTTATTCACATGCTATGATATTCACCCTTTTGAAGTGTACGTTCACAGTTATGTGCCATATAACAACTGTTCAGTCAACAGTGGACCACATAGGCAATGGTGGTCTCATAAAATTATAATACCGTATTTTCACTATACCTTTTCTATGTTTAGGTGTATTTATACACGTAAATACTTACTATTGTGTTGTTTCCTACAGTATTCAGAAGTATGGTAACATGCTGGACAGGTTTCTAGCCTAGGGACAACAGCCATAGCATATAGCCTAGGTAAATTAGGTTGTACCATCTAGGTTTGTGTAAATGCGCTCTACGATGTTCGCATATTAAATTTCTTAAGAATGCATTTCTCAGAAGATAACCCTGTTACTAAGCGATGCATGACTGCAAGTAGTTTTAGTATATTCACAAAGTTGTACAACGATCATCATTATCTAATTCCAGAACATTTTTATTACTCTAAACTAAACCCTGAGCCTATTACCAGTCACTTCCTACTCTTTTTACCTACTTTCTGTGTCCATAGATTTGTCTCTTCTGAACATTTGATGTAAATGGGATTACAATATATGTAGTTTTTTGTGTCTGGATTCTTTCACTTAGCATAATTCAAGGGTTCATCCATGTTGTATACATTGGCACTTCATTCTCTGTAAAGAGCTGTATTTGCTTCATATACACAGTACAATAATATAAAATTACAGTTAAAAAAGGTTACCTATGTTATTAAAGTAAGATTCTTGTATGTAAAAGAGTGTTACAGTCTATATTGCAAGGTTTTAACCTATTGTGATCATTTCCACAGTTTAGATTTTGAAGAATGTGCTCACAAATTGCTGAAAATGGAGTTTCCTGAAAGCCAAACAGTATGTTAATACTTCTTTTCCATTAGAAAATGTATATATTGGCTTTTGAAATGGTTAAGGCTGTTAATGAGTAAATATTGTGAATTGAAGCAATACCTCAGTGCTATTTATTTTTTAAATGTAGGTTTTATGTCATTTTAGAATAACTGCATTGTTTCAGTTGTGCTACTCACTCCAGTAAATTAAATTTTCTGCTCGAATGGGGTATGGTAAAAAGATAGTCTCTGAAACACTGCACTTTACATAGAATTTCTGAGTTATTGCTTATAAATCAAATTGTGACTTAAATATAATAGGAAATGTGTTCTTTCTTGGATTATGTAGTCCATCTTCTTGATGCACTATAGGGGTATCCAGTCTTTTGGCTTCTCTGGGCCACACTGGAAGAATCGTCTTGGGGCACACATAAAATGCACTAACACTACCAATAGCTGATGAGCTAAAACAAACAAACAAACAAAATCGTAAAAAGCATCATAATGTAATTTTTTCATTTTCTTTTTTGTTTTTTATTTTTGAGACAGTCTCACTCTTTCGCCCAGGCTGGAATGCAGTGGCATGATCTTGGCTCACTGTAACTCTGCCTCCCAGGTTCAAACGATTCTCCTGCCTCAGCCTCCCAAGTAGCTGGGATTACAGGTGCCTGCTACCACGCCCGGCTAATTTTTATATTTTTAATAGAGACAGGATTTCACCATGTTGGCCAGGCTAGTTGCCAACTCCTGGCCTCAGGTGATCTGCCTGCCTCAGCCTCCCAAAGCACTGGAATTGCAGGTATGAGCCACCATGCCCAGGCTTCATTCAGTAATTCCTTTAATGAAAACTTATTCAGCAGATACTATGTGTCAGGCATTTCACAAGATAGCTCCATCTTGGCCCCATGGTACTCACTATCTTACAGCTTGGTATACTTCACTTCTCAAAGTATCAGAACCCTAATGCCAAGGATAATGAAGATCAGATTAAGTAGATAAAGTTGCTTTTTCCTGTTTTTTTTTTTTTTTTAAATATATATTATATATATTACTTCCTTCCCATCTAGATAATACATCCTTAGAACCTGAGCCAAAGCTTTGGTGATTTTGTTTTTCTCACTTTTCTTCGCATGTGGTAGACCTGGCACAGATGCTAGAGTGAATGTATCAGCTGTGATGGGCTGTTCAGTTTCTGGTTCTTCTAGGTCTTCTTGATTATCTGATCTAAATTACTGTTAGATATAAATTCTTTGTCCTAAGCCTTTAGAAATGATGTTTTACAGAGATTGGCAACCTATGGCAGAGGCCTGCTGCCTGATTTTATAAATTAAGTTTTATTGGAATGTAGCAAGACTTACTTATTGATATATTGTCAATGGCTCTTTTCACACCACAGCCACAGAGTAAGTAGTTTTGACAGAGACTCATATGGACTCTAAAGCCTAAAATATTTATTATCTGGCCCTTTACAGAAAAAGTTTGCCAGTCTTTGTTCTAGAATATGTATTAATTCTTGAAATATGGTGATAGGGAATTTTGAGAAAAATTTATTCTTTTAATTGTAAAAGATTCCTTTTTTTCCTTTCAAAGTTTTGTTATTGGTATATTAATAATAGTGTGCCTGTTTGTAAGCTGGCCACATTTGATACGTCATCACTGGAAGGAAATAAATTAATACATTAAAACCTTTAAAATTATAATTGTCACTGAAATTTCAGTATGATCTTGTCAGGTTATTTGAGGAAGATAATTAAGCCATTATAAATTTTATTATAATTAATCTAGAAGATAGTTATTTCAGAACTAATCTCAGTATATTTTGGTAATATTTGGAAGAGTATCTTAGTGCATTTATTTTCATCCACTCAAAGACTCCTAAAATTGCTATAATACTTAATTAAACTGTTAAAATATGTAATTAATATAAGCTAGAGGGAATAACTCTTATAATTGCATTTAGGTAGGAAGGTAATTTGTTTTTCAAGTAGTACATAGCAGTGCTGTCAGCATATTACCATGTTTTACTGTTTTAAACATGAGTAACTGTTATACTATTATAAAATATACTGGTAAATAAGTTAATGAATTTTAATATACAAAGTTAGCATAATTTGTTAGAATTTAGAAAAGGCTTTTTTAGTTTTTAGTAGTATATGACAATTTGATAAAGTACACCTTTTCAGAACTTACACATTTACAAACATTTAATTGAGATAACTTGAGACTTATCTTAAAGTATATATATATATATGCATGCAATACACACACAGACACCCCACACACACGCGCACAGTGGGGGCGGGGAGAGAGAGAGAGAGAGAGTGCAATATAATGGCATTTGAAAGTACCTAGCCCTGTGTTGTAAAGTGAGGCCTTCGAGCTGTGAGTAGATTGTTCCGTGAGTAGATTATCAGTATCTAAAGCGGTGCTGTCCAATACAACTTCCTGCACTGATGGAAATATTTATATTCTCCATTCTCTAGTATAGTAGCCACTAGACACATGTGGCTTTTGAGTACTAGAAATATGACTAATCATGTGGCTGAAGAACTAGAATTTTAATTTTATGTATAATTTAAAATAATTAAAATTGAGATGTTGGACAGCACAGTTCTAGAGTATCTGTTCTGTGCTTCTTCAAGGTTCTCTTCCTACCTCTTGCCCTAAGTCCTTCCTCTGGAGTCTCTGACACATAATGTTAACATAGATATGTGCAGTAGATACTTAATGATAGAATTTTTTTTAATATTTACTATTTTTACCTAGGTTGTATCCTCTGTTATTAAATATGACAAAATGTCAGAATTGCTAATTAACAATACAAAGGTAAAAATTAAAAAGCAACATGTTTGTATAGGCTTGTTTTCAACTTGTTTGGAGAAAGCAAGTATATTACAGTTACTCTATTTGGAAAATATTTTTAAGTTTCTGTAAATCTTTATAGAAAGAGATATTTGGTCAGTTTTACACTAATCATAGATGAATTTGCACCTTTTTTCATTTTGTCTCTATTCACCTTATGTTGCTTGAGTTTTTTCATCAATGACGTTGCTATCATCAATACTTATCTCATTAGAATTATTTCAGGAATTAATATAATATTTAAAAACTAATTTGTTACATCAAAATCATCTGTGATGATAGTATTTCTTGACCGAATGTATCCATTAGTTTAATAGAATTTTCAGAGAGGTTTACATGGAACCTGAATAGGTAATTGGAACAATTTACTAGCAATTATGGAATGATTCCACTTATTTGTATAGATCCATATAGATAGGTCTATATGAATAACATTTATTTTGAGGTGAGAAGATTTAGCCACAGAGGTTTTTTTTTAATGTTTCTTTATCAACCAGAGGGTCATTTATGTTAACGTTGAATTTGTACCCACTTACACCTCTATAAAGACTCATAATGGTCTGCATTTTCCATATGAAATATATTCCTTAGCAATTGAGTTTATGTCCTTGGGAGAAATATAACTGAATTGTTAGATGTTGTTTTGGTGAGTCTTCTATTTAAAAGAATTCTGCAGAGAATCCTTTAAGAATACAGTGTATTAAATCTCTCCCTTATATGTCTGTTTCATATTCTAGGTTTTCTTGATGTGGTTCATACTTATCATGAATTTAGAATTTTATAATTAATATAATCACCATAAATGACTCTGGAATCTGTCATCTGGACCCAAGGCTTTAAAAAATTATGAGCTTAACATAGATTGAGGTTTTTATTTTACTTACAAAGCTTTTTGAAGTTTTAAACCTTTAAAAATGCAGGCAATCGCTATCATATTAGTAAATTATCATACAATATTTAGTCGCTTTGTGTTTTGACTCATTAATTTATTTTTTGCCTCAAATAGAAAGAACTCTGCAACATGATACTTGATTGCTGTGCCCAGCAGAGGACGTATGAAAAATTTTTTGGCTTATTAGCTGGGGTGAGTTCTGGCCTCTACTAAGGGAATTCTTAGAATGAATATTGTAAATTAATGATTTCTGCTTTATGGTCAGGTCTCATATAACAACATATTAGTATTTTTGCTAAAAGCGAATTATTCTCTCCTTCCTTAGGTTTCCCGCTCTCTTCACCTTCCTTCTTTTCTGATTCATTTTTGCAGTGCTTTAATTTTGTATATCACTTTTCCAGAGCTTTTTGGTATTCTCCATGCTTTGTAACAATTTCCCAATAGAAGACAATGAAATACTATCTTTTCAAAATCTCAAAGCAGTTTCTAAAGTCAAGTACATGTTCAGGCAGCACAATTAAAGCATGATCTAAAATGTTTCTTTAAATCTAAGCTCTACCCACATATGATCAGCTACATGTATAATTTTGTTTTTAGCATGTAAATCTCAGGTAATTAGAAACCATATATATTAACTTTTTAAAGTTTTGATTCAGTAAATTTAGGACTTAATATGCTCATAATTGTATTAACATTCAGTTTTTAATGTACTGATTTTTTATTTATTAGCGATTTTGCATGCTAAAAAAAGAGTACATGGAATCCTTTGAGAGTATATTCAAAGAACAGTATGATACCATCCATCGCTTGGAAACAAACAAATTGAGAAATGTTGCTAAGATGTTTGCTCACCTTTTATACACTGATTCACTTCCATGGAGTGTAAGTACATGGGTCAATATTTATACTTCCTTCCTAATTCCCTATTATTCTGAAATAGATTTTAGTATAAGCTAGCCATATTTATCCTATTATGAAATGTGCTTTAAAATTAAATATGTAGAACTCCTATCTTTGAGATTATATAATATGGAATCAGAAAGCTAGGTAAATAATTTATAAATAATACTGTCTTTATATTATATTAACAGTCCAGACAGGCCGATATTTCAATAGTGATGGCTAGGAGTGTCTTCAGGAAAAATACTGCAGATTTTCATCTTCTCTGTCTACATACACATGCATGCACACTTATATCTGCATATGCCACTATTTTGGTGGTAAATGTATCTCTGGAATTACTCTCCCTTGATTCCTGAGGGAATAACTCTTCGTGGGTCCTCTTGTTAGGTTCAAGAAAAATGATTGTCCTAGCACGGTGTGTTCTTTTCAGCAGATACTGAATTTGAGTAAGCCATAGAGAAGATATCCTAGGGTCATAGAACAAAGAAAGATATATTCTTGATGGGGAAATGTGCACTGGATTGAAATTTGAAAGATATTAATTAAGCTGGCATTTATTTTACAGCTGCTGTTCAACCACTGTTATTTAGCCACCATTTATATATCCAGTCATTTGAGAGAGGTACTGGGTATAAATGAATTAAACATGATCCCTCCTTTCAAGGGGGTTAACATATAAGAGCAGAGGTAAGATATGCCCATAGCAGTGATACAAATAAAAAGTCATAGATCCTAAGAAAAGCAAAGTTGCTAAAGGAATTAAAAAGAAAGAAAGAAAGAATTTACATCCAGGAGGAAAGAACAGGATCATCTTGTAGAATGCCATCCTACTAATGGCAAAATGAGGCAGTATCTCAAACTTACAAACATTGGATAGATTATACTATTTTAAGTAGTAAGTATGTCCGGCTACATTAATAGGCATTTGTAATCTAACCCAGGTGGCTAATTGTAATAATTTTTTACTTCTTTTTGTTCCCTCTTTAAGAAAACGAAATCAGAATTTTAAACAATTAACTAACTAATGGGTTCCTGGAACACATAACTCATAAAAACTGGAGGTTACTATTATTTTTATTTGTCCTAAAAATATTTCTTTAGACATTTCACTTTTTAAGCCACTGTCTTAATATTCAGAATAAACTATCATACTTTTTAAAATCATATTTGTGTTATACAGAATTGCAGCCTAATGTGCTAAGTGGCATTTTGCCCCAAACCCTCATATAAACCACATTTTGATGAGTAAGTTTTAAGACCTAGTAATCTTTACCATTATCCACTCAAGAGAGGGTATCTTCTTTGCTATAACAAGCACATTACTCCAAACAGAGAATGAAATATATTTCTGTAGCATCTTAACATTTTTAAAGTTAATACAGAGAAGTAGTTTTAAATTTTTATGTCAGCATAAGGGGAGATACTCAGAACTAGGGTTGAAGATGAGAATAAATAGTAATTTTGAGAAACACTTAAACCTACAAATATTGGTCAGTCTTTTACAAATTAAAATATAATTGTCTTTTTTAATTTTAATTTTCAGGTTCTTGAATGTATAAAACTGAGTGAAGAAACTACTACATCATCCAGTAGAATTTTTGTGAAAATATTTTTTCAGGAACTGTGTGAATACATGGGTCTTCCTAAACTTAATGCAAGATTAAAGGATGAGTAAGTTTCTCATTAAGCACTTTTTATTCTTGTTGACCTCAGATTTTCTCTAATTATAGCAGACATAAGCCCATCCAAGATTGTAAAACAAGAGCTGAGCCCCCTGGGACTTTCTTCATCCATTAATCACTACTCTGGATCTCATGTTATGTCACACAGGACAACATGCAACTTTTTGGTAGTTTTTAGTTTAAGTGGAGTTCAAATTAATGCATTGTTAAATTTTCTTAGAAAAGAATTATTTTTACATGCTCACTTGAATTCTCCAGTGATATTTATAATTTTATTTTCTTTTTACCCTAATATTAAGCCTTAGAATAGTAACTGATATTATCAGTGGATAGTTTTGAGTGTATATGGCATCTATTAATAATTGTTCAAAAATTATTACATGGAACTAGAGTCTTATTTCAGGATTATTATGTAATCCTCTCTCACCTTTCTTATTTCCTACTTATTCACATTGCCATTTAGGTTGGCTTCTACTCCATTGACACCACCGAAATCATCCTTTCAGATTTCTCAGTGACCACCTGCCATATTCAGTCATCTTTCTCTTTTTTTTTTTTTTTTCCCCAGTCATCTTTCTCAATCTGCATGCCCCTTCACTTCTCCGCCTCACTTACACATTTGACCACCTGCTCACTTGGCTCCTCACTTTCTGTCAATTCCTCTCTCAGTCTCTTCCTCAGCCTGCCTCTTCAGTGTTCTGAGTTGCACACACTGCCTGAGGGTCATTCCATCCGCTTCTCGTGGCTTCATGTATTTACTCATTTGGTCCCTATCGACTTGACCAGGCTTATCTTCTCTCTCTTCAGCAAGCTGCACTCCAGCCATACCAACGTTGCCAAGCTTGTTAAACACATCTGGCTCTTTCATGCTGCCTTCTGTTTCCACTGCTGGCATTTTCCTCTCTTCTTGATCTGTCTGGCAAACTCTTAATCATTCTTCTTATATTTTACCTTTTTCTGTCAGAAAGTTTTTCCTGACTCCACTGAGTTGTTATTCAGTGTGGTGCTGAAAACCAAATGTCCAAAACCACCTTGTATTGTTAGTGTCTTTCTGGTTGTCTCACTTCATAGATATTGTAATTGTATGGTCTTCATACAATTACAATTATCTGTAATTTCTCCCTTTTGTTGACTACTTCCACCTCTCCCCCGTACTTTGAACAGTTCTGTGTGTGTGTGTACATATACATAAACAGAGGAGGTTTTTGAAATTTTTTGTACATATAATCACTGTATATACGTGTGTGTGTGTAAAAAAGTTTTTTAAAAACCTCCTCCATTGAATAATGACAGAAATCAAGTTTGGTAAATTATTATGTGACCCTACTCATTTCATTTAGATAGTACATAGCCTAACCTAATAAATGACATCAACTAGTTACTTGGGTGTATTTCATTTAGTAATTTAATATGTGAAAAACTGACTGTGTAAAGATTTTGCCTTTTTATCTTTAAGCAATCTGTTTTCTTTTGTTTATTTATTTTTGTTTTTAGAACCCTGCAGCCATTCTTTGAAGGTTTATTACCCCGAGATAATCCAAGAAACACTCGATTTGCCATCAACTTCTTTACTTCTATAGGTCTTGGAGGTTTAACGTAAGGATTATGCTCAGAATTTTATTTTCAGATTATAAAGTTATCTCATAATTGTCTTTGAAATAGAATCTAACAGATTATATTTTAAATTAGGGATGAACTACGTGAGCATCTCAAAAATACACCAAAGGTCATTGTGGCACAGAAACCAGATGTTGAGCAAAATAAATCCTCCCCATCCTCTTCCTCTTCAGCGTCCTCCTCTTCAGAGTCTGACTCCTCTGACTCCGATTCTGACAGCAGTGGTAGCAGTTCGGAATCTTCCAGTGAAGAGAGTGATTCTTCGTCTACCGGTAGTCATAGCTCTGCCTCAGGTATTGATGCTCATTTGTAATTTGGCTTGCTCTTTTTTAATAAATATATTGCTGATATTTATGAAAGAAGAAAATAATTAGATTGCTTATTTTAGAGATCAATTGTTTAAAAGCTACAATTAATAAAAATGGTTCCGTCTATCATTGTTGCAGTCTGTGGTGCAGTACAGCATTTGTAATGCTGGGGTTGCCTTTTGATATCCTCATTATAGAAATGAAAATATTTCATTGGCAAATACTTACTTGAGTTATAATTGAAATACCATTCATAATGTTTGTAATCTAGTTTATAGAAGCTATCCTGGTGTTTCTATTTTAAAGAAGATTTGAATTTTTACTTTTAATATTAAAGCTTTATGTTTGTAATTGACATATCAAACATTCAGTGTGGATCTCAGATGCTGTATGAGTGTTTATAGAGGGAATATATACGTATAGCTAGCACACAGAACAAGATATACTGGTATTCTCTGTATTCTGATTTGTAATTTCATAAATTAATTTTGCATGTTTTTAACTTTAGTATCATGTATTATGGACTCCTTTTTATTTCTGGCTTATTGTTTTACCGTTATGTTTGAGATGTAGCTGCATTACTGCATTTCGTTGTAGGTAATTCATTCATATTGCTGTGTAGTTTTCTACTATATGAATACTACAATATTTATCATTTTTACTCAACAGACTAGATTTTTAAGTGGTATTTCCATGTATATTCTCGTACATATCTTTTGATGACCTTATTTATTTATTCACATTTCTACTGGGTGTTTACCTATAGGTGGAGTCATTCTGTCATAAGATTTGCATGTATTTAGCTTTAGTAAATACTGTCAGTTTTCCAACTGGTTATGCCAATATGCACAACCACCAGCCGTGTATAAGAGTTTACTTAGTTCCCATCCTTATTAATACTTCAAATTGGCCATCTTTTTCATTTTAGCCATTCTGGTGGATGTGTAATGGTACTGCCTTGTGGTTTTAGTTTTAATTTGCATTGCAACTAATGAAGTTAAACACCATTTTATACATTACTGGCCATTTGGATTTTTGTGGTCAAGTTCTCAGGTATTTTACTGATTCTTTTTTTGTTTTTTTTTTTTTTTTTGAGACGGAGTCTTGCTCTGTCACCGAGGCTAGAGTGCAGTGGTGCAATCTCAGCTAACTGCAGCCTCTGCCGCCTGGATTCAAGTGATTCTTCTGCCTCAGGCTCCCAAGTACCTGGGATTACAGGCGCCCACCACCGTTCCTGGCTAATTTTTGTATTTTTTGTAGAGACGGGGTTTCCCCATGTTGGCCAGGCTGATCTTGAACTCCTGACCTCATGATCCACCTGCCTCAGCTTCTCCAAGTGCTGGGATTACAGGTGTGAGCCACCTCACTCAGCCTTCAATTTTTTTTTTAATTAAGTTGTATTGTCTGTATATTTGTAGGTGTTCTTTACATATTCTAGATAATGATATCTTTTGCACATATATGTATGGCAGATAACCAGTCCTATTCTCGTCTCTCTAGCCCTACAAGGCTACTAGAGCTTTGGTGTCTTTCTGTTCCTCACCAGCATCCCTGAATCAGCAGATGCTCCCAGGGAGAAAGTGGTCGTAGAACATCAACTTACTTCTCAATGCTTCTGTCTTCTCCTGCATCTTGTTCCCTCTAGTCCAGGCGTCCCCAAACTACGGCCCGCGGGCTGCATGTGGCCCCCTGAGGCCATTTATCCGCCCCCCCCCCACCCTCCACGGCACTTCAGGAAGGGGCACCTCTTTCACTGGTGGTCAGTGAGAGGAACACAGTATGTGGCGGCCCTTCAACCGTCTGAGGGACAGTGAACTGGCCCCCTGTGTAAAAAGTTTGGGGACGCCTGCTCTAATCCTTACTTTTCCACTAGCTCTCTGAAGCCTTTAGATTTTTTACTTTGTAAGTGTAGCCTTTTATTTTGAACTAATTTTTGACTTAGGAAAGTAGCAAAAACAGTACAGAGAATTTCCGCATACTCCTCATCCAACTTCCCCTGATGGTAGCATCTTAACATAACAATGGTTCATTTATCAAACAAGGAAATTAACATTGGAACAGCATTATTGAGTAGACTACACATATGATTTGAAAACCAGTTTTGCCACTTACGTTCTTTTTCTTATTTCAGGATTCTCCTTACATTTAATTGTATTCTCAATTTTCTACATTATATGATAGTTCCTCTCAAGCTTTCCCTGTTCTTAATAGCTTTGACACTGTTGAAGTCCTCTGGTCACTTATTTTGTAACCCATCCCTCAGTATGGAGTTTTGTGTGATGTTTTCTCGTTATTAGAATGAGGTTAGACATTTTTGGCAAGAGTACAGTGGAAACAATATGTTGTTCTTAGTGCGTCTTATCAAGGGATTCATAATTTTATTTTGGGTGACAGCCTTGATCACTTGAGTAAGGTGGTGTCCACTGGATGTCTTCAGGAAAACTATTTTTCTCTGTGAAAGTATCTTATAGGGAGATAACTTGATAGTATGCAAATCTCTTTCTCCTCCAGCTTTTACTCACTAATTTTAACATCCATCTTTGGATCTTGTCTGCAACACTTATTTTTACTGTGGTGTTTTCCTAATGGTGATTTTTTATTTGTTTTCTTCTACATCTAGTAATTGAATTTCTTCTGTAAGAAAGCATTATCCCTCTTGTCTCATTTATTTATTTAGTCAACTGTATATATCAATATAGACTCATGGTTATTTATCTTATCCTGTGGGTTAAAGTACAGTACTGTCATTTATTTTGTTCAAATCATCTCAGCTTTGGCAAGTAGGAGTTCCTTTAATTTGGTTTCTGTATACTTTTCAACGTTTTTCAATGGAACATTTTAAAATTTTATCTGACATTTCTAATTATTTTCAGCAGGAGCACAGGTTTTTCACAGTCTTCTCTAGCCTTTCTGGAAGTGGAAATGCTGTAGTAAAAGATGTTTTCAAAGTTCGGTTCTGGTTCATAGTTTCTGAAAAGATCTGTGTTGATTTACACAAGGTCAGCTCTGCTTTCTTTCATTACAGTGTCTTGGTCCAAGTAAGGGATTGTCTGCTTACCCTACATGCAGGTCATTTCTCATTTTGTTTCTTTTGATGCAATATTTCAACCAATGTGGCATCAACACTTTCTTCCATAGCCTTAAATTGAAAGGCTAGTCTTTGCACCTTTGTTCCGTAGCTTGTTATATTTCCAAGTGTTTTACATATTGTGTGACAGTCAGAATTCTGGGGTTGTCTGTTTTTTATATTATCAGAGAAAGATTATTTGCTTATAGGAGCTTTCATTCTTGTATTTAAGTGTACAAACGTTCATTTAACATTCACAATTTTTATATTCTGCAGAATATAAAAATTTTTTCATGGTATCCATTTTGAGAACAGATGATAACACAGCATGAATTTCTTCAATAAGGAAGCTTGCTGATTCAAAATTAATTTGCCTTCTCATACAATTTCAGTAGAGAACTTCGTTTTATTAATGAAATATTAAATAGCATAAGACCAGTATGAACTGCCCCAAAATTAGGAAATTGTAAAACAAACATAGCAAAGGGAGAAGAGACTGCCTATTGTTATGTGGGTGGGTTTTTATATCAGGAAAGCCTGAGAGTAGTGTACAATAGAGTCAGGGGGACGTTGGTTTAGCACAGAGCCAGATGGCTTCTGCTTGGGTAGCTGCAGCTCAGCTGAGCTGTTTGATAGGAACCAGAGAAATAGGTCCTTAGTGGCAGACCAACTGACTGTCCCATGTGCCAAGGGTAGGCATTTAGCAGAAGAAATAGAGGTTGCTACAGTGAGATTTACCAACCTCTAGGTAGAATTAGGGTGACGAGAGGCACTTTTCTATCATATTTTCTCTTTCCTGCGTCTGCATGAATTTGACAGACATTTTTATTATTTTAGCATCTTTGATTTATGCACCCAAATTAAATAACAGATAAACTGATTAAATTTGTTTTGTTGCTTAAAGTGGTAAGTTATTTAAGTATAATCATTTTGTATTTATAGTTGGGATTATATCAGCAAAATTAAATTATTTGAGTTCTTTTTAGAAGAATTTCTTCAGAAACGAAGCATTTGTGGCTCTAATAAAGCCTGTGACTGTCAATCTTAACATATCTGCTCTTGTTGATGTATTTAGTGCCTCTCTGCAAGTATCAGAGAGGAGAACTATTGTTTTGGCAGGAAGAGGCCTTTCACTGAGAAATATATATTCGTACTGTTAAGCAAACCCAGTCGTTCTACTTCTCCTGTGTTTAGGAAGTGATTGCTAGTTTGTGTTAGCATTGTTTTTTGATTAGGTACCACATCTGACATAATATTCCTATGAATAACACACATGGATGGAATTTCAATTTTTGGATTAAATTTGTTCAGTGGAAATCTATTCGAGTCATTTTCTAAAAATTTTTACATTTGCTATAAAATTTCTTTTTACTGTCTTGAATCTAAAGATCAAAACAGTACTTTGGTAACTAATGTTGAGATATTACGTATCCCCTTTCCTTCTTTCTTTACTTTCCTCCTTCCCTCCTTCTTCCCCTTCCTTCCCTTTTTTTTTTTTTTTCTGGGCAGAGTCCTACTTTGTTACCCAGGCTGGAGTGTAGTACATACTTTATTCACTCAACTTTTGCCTCCTGGGCTCAGCTGACTCTCTCACCTTAGTCTCCTGAGTAGCTGGGACCGTAAGTGCATGCTACCACACCTGGCTAATTTTTGAGATTTTGTAGAAAAGGGGTTTCACTACATTGCCCAGGCTGGTCTGGAACTTCTGGGCTCAAGCAGTCCACCTCCCCACTGTCCCTGCTTCCAAAAGTGCTGGGATTACAGTCATAATCTGCTGTGCCTGGCCTGAGGTGTCGTATATTCGTAAAAGTTAAGCATTGTTAAGACCCTGTGTCATCAGACCTTCCATTCAATCAATTTGGTTTTGTGTCTAGTTTATCTGAGTTAGTAAACCTACAGTGTATCTGTAAATGTGATTATTGTAATTATGAAATTAAGATTGAAATAAAAGCTGTCTTTTATTTTACATTTGCAGCTAATGGTGTAAGAAAGAAGGGACATGGGAAGACCAGAAGTAAAGAAATAGATAAATTGATCAGAAACCAGCAAACAAATGATAGGAAACACAAAGAAAGAAGACAAGAACAAAGGCACCAGGAAACAAGGACTGAGAGAGAAAGAAGATCAGAAAAACACAAAGATCAAAATTCAAGAGATTCAAATTGGAGAGATCCTGTAACAAAGTACACATCAGACAAAGGTGTTCCTTCTGAACGAAATAACTACAATAGAGTTGTGAATGATATATACCAAGAAATGGATATAGATTTGGAAAATAAGCATGGTGATCCCAAAAAGAAGAGAGGAGACAGAAGAAATTCTTTTTCGGAAAATGAGAAGCATAGACACCGAAATAAGGATGGTGACAATTTTAGAAGAAAAGATCGATCAAAGTCAAGGGAAACGAATAGAAAACACTCTGGCTCAAGAAGTGATGAAGATAGATACCAGAATGGTGCCGAGAGGCGATGGGAAAAATCTAGCAGATACTCTGAACAATCCAGAGAATCAAAGAAAAATCAGGACCGGCGGAGAGAAAAGTCTCCAACAAAACAAAAATAATTCTACAAAATGGCATAAACTGGACATGCCTTATATTCAGTTGAAGCATATTATTTTTTACTTTGATCAACAAACTTTATAGAGAATTCTTGTATAAAGTAATGGTTTGTATTTGTAATTTTTAAAAATGTTTTCATGTTTTATAATTGATACATCTCAAGGCCCTACACATAAAATTGAGAAGATTCACCAGAAATGGATGTAAGTCTCACTTATATTTTATGAATAAAATTATCAAATTGCTCATTGATTCAGTCATTTTTTTTAATTGACAAAATTTTTTTGAATTGTTTAAGAAGCTGTTATAGTGAATTATTAGTGCTTTCGTATTTCTAACTGAAGACCAAAACAGGTGAACCTTTTCAGTTTAACATTTTTGCTTTGTTAATGAGATGTCATGAATCTTTTTCAAGTGGTCACTTCTTTTTTAAAGCAGAGGATTTATTACAATTTTCATATTAGGCTTTGAACAAAGTAAATAATGTGTAATTTGTTTACAAGTGTTGGTAAAGCTAGGTGTATGTTAGTCTTTAAACCAATACACATTTATACTCACAGGCAACATTTCTTCTCTCTGGACTGCTTGATCCCATTTAATTGAAATTCTTTGTGATTAGTACATTTTTCTCGGCCTTGAAGTTTTGTCACTGTTGAATTAATATATATTTAATTTTTAATTTTGATTAATAGATCATTGGAAAACATACAGTTGTGAGATATGCAAGCAGGCTAACTGTAATTTGTTTTTTATACAAATTTTAAGAGTTTCCATCATTGTAAGTGTCACTGATTAATTAACATGACCATATTATGTATTACTTTTGAAATAAATATTGCCTCTGAGATCTTAGACTGGCTGGCAAACATTTGACCTTACTTGCTTAATGTAGACTTCTTGTGCTTACTCACCTTAAAGGTGCATATAGTTTGTTTTAGCCAATGTTTGGTTTCAGGAATACTGAGGCCACCATTTTCATGTTTAGTTTTTGGGCATATGCTGATTCAAAATGTTTCCTATTTTTGTTGTTTAACTTGAGTGTAAGTAACAATAAAATTCATGTAATTAAATATCCTTGCCTTCTCCCCACCAACTCACAAAAAGCGTTCATTTGAATGAGGTAACTTAGATAAATTCTTTTTAGTGTTTTCTCCCTTTGTGGTGATTAAAATTTGGTATCATCGGAAGGGACTGTCATAGACATAGTGCATTCCACAGAACTATAAACTGAGCAAATTGGATTTAACCAACATGTAGGCCATAAGTCCTAAGGGAAATAATTTATTTTTTTACCCAAACCCTTATCTTCGGCGGTGGTAAAAAGAAAAAAATAGTAGACTAGGAATTTTAATTTACTTTTTTCACTTAAACCTTAGTTCATGACTTTTACATGTACATATGGGAACCCATTCTTTCCATTAAGTGTTTAACACCTTAGAGTAGGATTCTTTTTTAATGTTATTAATATGTATTAAGCTTTTACTATTTGCTCAGGTTTGTTTTAGGTGCTAGAAATAAAACTGTAAACAGTGTTTCTATGCTTTGGGGCTTATAGGTCAGGGGAAGGAGATGGTAAACAAAGACAATAAATAAATATGTGACATATCTAGTAGTGATAAGTGCTGTGAAGTAAAGCAGAGAAAGGCAAGACTGAGTGATTGGGAGACAGGGTGTATAGAAGGTCAGGGCAGTTCTCTGGTAAGTTGATGTTTGCCCAGATACCTGAACAGAGTGAGTGCTTGAGACATGTGGATTCCTTGGGAAGAACTTTATAGGCAGAAGGAACAGCTGAAATACAAATGATTTTTGATAGCAAATAGCCTGGAAATTTTTGTTAACATTTTCTATTCTACTTAATTTGTGTTTTGTCGTGTGTGTGTGTGTGTATGTGTGTGCGCGCTCCTCACTACTTTGTATGCTCTTCTACAAGCAATTAATGCCTAACTACCTCTAGCAGAAGTATTTTAAGTGAATCATATCAGAAGTAGAGACCATAGCTAGATTGAGAAACTATCCTGTTCTGCCTTCAGAATGCATTTCTATGGCATCAACTGTGATGCATTCACATGTACCGTCTGCTACTCAGGCAGCCTTTTCACCTTCATCTAGTTAATTTGTAAACAAGAAACATGTTGCCTATGTTTGCAGTTTCTATATTTTTACACGATTTTTAGAGTTAGCATTTTTTAAGGATCAACTGAGTTCTAGATATTTTGCATGCTCATTCCTTTTCAGCTTCTCAGTTTCCTTGCTTCCGAAAGTTCTAATTCTACATCCCTAGCTACCTGCTCCCATTGTCGTCCCTTTAGGTTGACTTTCAAATCATACCAGCCTCTGAAATCCCTCCTTGAAGCATCATACTTTGGCAACTGCCCATCCAGTTCACCTCCTTTAGTACTGTTATTCTAGAAGTCCTTTCACCTCAGCAAACCTTCTGATCCATTGACTTCATTGTAATCGAATTACCAGTCCCTGCTCATGCATTTCTCTACTTCCCTCATTCCATGATCTGTCATTTGAATAGATAAATGAACAAATCAACAAATTTAATTCTTTCAAAACAACCCCACGAGAATTGGTATTGTCTTCCCACATCAAAGAAGAGGAGACTGAAGTCCAAGGAGACTAATTAGGCTCAGGCCACAAAGTTGGTAAGTAATGGGATTTAACTCCAATCATCTTCATTCCAAAGCATAACTGGAGGATGAATTAAACCCGGAGAGGAGGACTTGAGAATCAGCTCTGTCTCCTAGCAGCTGTGTGAACTTAGGCAAGTTATTTCACTTTTCTGACCTGATTCATCTTTAAAATACTTGTGTCTACCTTACACAGTTGTGGTGAAAATTATATGAAATAATGAAGTCAAAGGGCCTAGAGTAGCATGTAACCCAAAATGCGCATTCAACAAAGTTTTTTCAAAGTGCAGTAAAGATTTGGAAGAAAATTCAGGCTCATCAACTGGTTTATTATGATTGCTTCATTCCATCTGTAGTTTTAAAAAAATGTGTGTTAAAATACCAACAGCAAAATGAATTGATTTTTCTGGAGGCAAGGTGTGACAGAGTAATTATCCATCATTTCTATCATTGTACCTGTTTGCCAGATGTACATCCCCTTTTAGCTCAAGCATCCTGCTTGCTGCGTCTTACACAACTACCTCACGTTTCTCAAATGTGTTATCAGAAACAAAGGTTTTGGTTATCCGTGATAGTTATGAGTGAAGTTTTTTATTCTTGAGTTACTTTGTTTACACCAGTTTCATTTTGATGTAACTTATGTGTATCCCCCCCCAAAAAAATTCATAGATTAGCAGATTAAAATCTTCCCCATAGATTTTTTTTTTTCAGAACACTGATGCTTTTGTTTTCCAATTGGATTCTCACTTTTTCCAATGTAGCCAAATGTCCTTTCTGTCTGATCTTTCAAGTTCTTTCATTCTGTTCCCTGTATATTTCACAGAATGTTTCTTCAGCCAAGCAAACTTTAACACCCACTGTTACTTTAGCAGAGAACGTAGAGTGCCCACTGTGACATCTTGGAAACCTGTTCCCTTAACATGGACATTTTTCACATTACACACTTTGAAACACTCACTGAAACATCTCGAAATGGTGTTTCTGGCTGTCATCTCGTGTGTCCCCTCCGCCTTGAATATGGTCTACAACTTCCATTTATACTCACCCACATGTTGCTAAATCTCATTAAAAACCTGAGGCTGTTGCCTATCTCCAATTAGAGCTTAAGTTTCTTGAGTTGATTAGTTGTATCTATGCATTTTATGTTTACTAGACATAAAAATGAAGACAAGTCTCTACCACTCCCACGTTCTCCTGCCACCCAAAGTTCATGATTTATGATGAGAAACTAAGCTATTGAGTTCATCTCAGATCATCCTAGGCACAGGTAGAAGAAGCAATGAGACAACTACCCAGGTGTGCATGTTCGTGTGCATACTGCAGAAAAGAGCACAAGTTCTACTGGCTGAAGTGAAGGTAAGTATTTGCTTTTAGGAAAAGACCCAGATTTCATATAGAGTAACTTAGTACCATTTAATTTGAATGCTATTTGGCAAATGCAAATTAAGTCTGACTGGATTTCTCATCTCACCATTACCACTTTCTGGCTGTTGACATTTAGGCAGATCTTTGAACCTTTTAGTTTTTTCACCTGTACAGTGGTACAATTATAGCACCTCCCTCAAATGGTGGATGATCTCTGTGGCACACTTAGAACAGAGCCTGCAACTAAGTGCTCAGTCTGCTATTATTGCTGTTACTGATTTTATTCTTACCATTGTCATTAAAGCTGTCATAATGCCACTAGACCAGGATTTGCAAACTCCAGTATCTACAGGGGCCAGGTGAATATCTCAAATGAGACAAATTGGGTAGTGAATCGGAGTCATTTAGAGCAGCAACATTTATTCAGCTTCATACAATTCTACCTGTAAAAATGAAGACAAGGTTGACCATCTGCCTGATATTTGAAAGAATTAAAGAATCAATTTTTATATAGCTTCTGATTTTTAAATGTTGACAAGTATTAAACAGGCCAGAATTAAGCTGTCCAAACAAAATAATCTATAGGTAAACTGTAGCTAATTTGTGACTCCACTCTAGACTCTTAAAAATGGTTACTTAATTTTGGAATGGCACTGTTTGTAATACAAAGAAGGTCGTTTTTCAGTTTCTGCTTCTTATAGAATGGGAGGATAAGGTCCTTCATCTTTCTTGAAAAATCTTTTACTTTGCTAACCTCAGCAATCCCCACTAGCTAAATTGCTCTAAAACTTTTGTCAAGTTTTAGTTCTGCACTAAATGGCCTACTTCCTCCCTGTAATCCAGGGATGGAAAATACGATTCATTTTTCCTCAAATCTGCATATTTTCTAATGTCCTGCAATTGGTTCCAGCAATCTCCCATCACCTGAGTTTTTATTGCTATTCTATGTCCAAATCACCACATTTCTTTGGAAAAACTTTGGCATGTATCTGTATCTTCCCACATGAACTGCTGTCACTATAGTTCTGGCCCTTTTTACTTTCTCTTTTCTATTTGAACTGTTAACAGTAGTTTATTGGTCATCTCTGCAGTGTGTCAGGTACTCTGCTAGTTGCTGAGGACACAAGACATGAGCAACAGAGATCTGTTCTCAGTTGAGCCTAAATTATTGCAGGAAGAAGCAGAAAATAATCAACTTCTAAAAAAAATAAAAACTTATACTTTGAAAAATGTTAGCCATTCAG